GAAAACAGCCATTTTTCACAAAATGCTCATGAAGTAATGGGTTAAATTTGTACAAGTACGATGCAACCAGTTCTTACAATTTGAACACTGAATTGTATCATCAGCACATTCTAATGTACACACAATGCACGGATACTCCGTCATGATTTTTGATATTTTATTTAAGAGATATTCCAAATTAGATTTAATAGCACTACTAGCATTTACAGAAAAAATTTGGTAATGGATTAATTTTGTTGAGATTAATATACAATTTTATTCAAATAAGAGTAAATTTTAATAGCACCTTGATATAAAGTTCTAAGAGATTCCGTATATATCTGTTACAAACATTTCTTTTCATGAGTGCCGTAATAATCTTCTTTAAACAAAATTAATTTTTATATCAAAAGAGTGTGTAGTTAATTGCAATTTCTAATTATCTAATTTAATGTGCATGTTAAGGACAGTGTCTAATTAATGCAACTTTGATGTGCAGGTCGGTACTCTCAATTATCATAATTGTGTACAAATTGATTTAATCATCACCTTTTTGTGCTACAATATACAAGGTCTTTAATCAGCATGGATAAGCACGTGTGATAAACAATACAACAACTACTGTCCTCCACTGATGACCACATTGCTTTTCGGTACACATAGTAATAAAGACATATAACTGAACGAAAATTTATAAGTTTTTCTTTATTTTACATAATATAAAAATATAATAATAAAAAATATGGTTCAATGCTTTGAATAACTTATTGGTACTTTTTACACATCCTCTTTCTGTCCTTCACACAACCTATAAAATATTAGAAATATGATACATTGATATATGGTATGAGCAAGATTGAAACATCGTGTAACTAATCATAATATCTTTAATTGAAATAAGTTCAACTTAATTAATCAATTTATAACACTTTCACATAATTAATATGAAGGATTAGTGTGATTTATATAAATATTCGAGTGCTATTCGGTAAAGTAGATGTACTTTAGCATTACCGGAAAGCAATCAATACAACTTTGTAACAACTTTGAAAATCGCGTAATGAAACATAAAATATTTATAAAAACGTCATGATATACAGATCTTCAACTACTAAATAGATTGGTAACACTTTCAAACCAATAAAATAAAGTTTTCATGTATTAATTGGATAAACAATATTGCTATTCGGTAATGTACATGTATCTTAGCAGGACCGGAAAGCACTCGATATATCAGTTTTCCTAAATACTCGTAATAATTATCATTATATATTTATAAAAACATGTTGTCTGAAAGATTTTGATCTAATAAATCGATTGGTAACACTTTCAAACCAATAAAATAAAGTTTTCATGTATTACTTTGATAAACTATATTGCTATTCGGTAAAGTACATGTATCTTAGCAGGACCGGAAAGCACTCGATATATCTTATTTTCCTAAATAATCGTAAAAATAATCATAATATAATTACAAAAACGTGTTGTCTGAAAGATTTTGATATAATAAATCGATTGGTAACACTTTCAAACCAATAAAATAAAGTTTTCATGTATAACTTTGATAAACAATATTGCTATCCGGTAATGTACATGTATCTTAACAGGACCGGAAAGCACTCGATATATCAGTTTTCCTAAATACTCGTAATAATTATCAATATATATTTATAAAAATGACTTTACTGAAAGATTTTGATCTAATAAATCGATTGGTAACACTTTCAAACCGATTAATTAACGTTTTCATATGTTTTTATGAGAAATTTGAGTGCTTTCCGGTATTTCGGTGCTATCCGGTGCTTTCCGGTTTTTCTATGCACCGAACGCTGTTAAATTACATTTATTAATATCATATCTTATGTTCTCATCTAGAACATAATCATTAGCATGTCTAGTGGCCAATCTGTCCTTTAAACTAAGCAACAAACCTTAAATATCATATGCATAGTTATGGAATTATACACACATTTAATATATTTATTACGCTTTAAACATCATATGTAACTTACCTAGTCCAATAGATTAGACGTTACAGGCTTGTTCTTCTTCTTCTTCTTCTTCTTCCAGTATAAGAGACGGGATCCAAACGGAACGTAATGAGGCTCTGCGAAAACTATGTACATGGTGAGATGGAACACTCTTCCGCTCAGCGATAAAAGTTGTAAAAACTGATAAAAACTTTATTTACAGAGACGTTGTGAAGTGAATTTAGACGGAGGCCGGCAGGCGCGCGCGGAAAGCATCCAATGTTTCCGCGGCGGTGACTGTTGATGCCAGGCCATTCCAATCAACAATTGTCCTGGGGAAGAAGGTATTTGTATACATCCTGCCAGTGGTGCGTTCTTGGTAGAAATGTATACATGTTCTACTGTCACTGTTGTTCTTCTTGGATTGGTTACTCAGTGGTAGGTACTTGTCCTTGGGGATGTCTACTAGGTCATGTTGAATGTGGTAGAGCATGCCTAACCTTGCTTCCTTCCTTCTCTGTTGGAGGGTGTTCCAATCCAGGCTCCTCAGCATTTTTGTCATACATCCAGGTGTTCTGGATTTATAGTCATTTTTGACAAACCTGGCTGCCCTTTTCTGGATCTGCTCAAGTGAATCTATGTGTGTCTGAAGATGAGGATCCCAAACCGTTGCTGCATATTCAAGACCTGGGCGTACAAAAGTGCAGTAACTTGCTGCTTTCAGTTGTGGTGTACAATCCTTCAAGTTTCTCCTCACAAATCCCAGTGTTCTGTTTCCTTTGGCAGCTACATTCTGTATGTGCTTGTCCCATGAGAGGTTGTTGGAGACAGTTACACCAAGGTATTTGCTGTGGTCCACTGATTGCAGGACTTGGCCATGAAGTATATACTGGTGTTGGTGATCTATCTTTCTGTTTGATGATATGTGTAATACATAGCACTTGGAAGCATTGAAGCGCATAAGCCAGGTTCGTTCCCATTGTTCCAAAGCTTCAAGATCCTGTTGCAGCCTTGTCTTGTCATTTGTACTCTTGATGACTCTGAACATGAGGCTGTCGTCCGCAAAGAGTCGGATGTCAGATGATGTGCAGTCAGGCATGTCATTTATGTAGGCCAGGAACAAATAGTTATAGTTTTATGTTGGTCAAGTCTGACGTCTAATAGTTATTGCTCATAAACGCGTAGCATTTTGAAAAATTAAAAAAATGTCTGTTGACTTGCCTTTCAAGCTTTATTCAAAAGCTTATCTTCTGTTCATTCAATTGCATGGTCTATCATTAACAAAAACTGTCAAACAATGTACTTATCAATTAAAAATAAAATATAAATAGTCTATTTTGCTCATCGGCCATACTGGTTAAGTAAAGCGTTTTACAGATTGATTCCAATTTTTTGAACAGAAAAATATATTCGAACACACTGACGGTGCATGGGCAATTATTTCGTTGAAAAAATATTCCGTTAGAAACTTCTGGACTCATTTAAACGCTTGCATTTGAATTAGCCAATCAGATTTCGCGCACTGTATGGCGGCCATTTGTATATCGACTGTACAAGGAATTTAATTAAATGAGAGGATTTAATCATGACTTTTCTGATGTGACAGTTCAATTATTTTGTTAAAAGGTATTTATTTTTTAGTTTTGTCCATAAATAGGTCAAAATTAATGTAAATACACGCTGTTTTAATTGTTTAAATTCATTAGATCTAAATCGATGTCTAATGTCAATTTTTTTGCTACACAATTTTGCAAAGATCTGTTAAGACCTAACGTAACATGGAAAATGAAAAATGTAAAATAGCAGATTAATGAATGATAAATATGAAATAGGTTACGTATAGGTCTTATAATTAGGACTAGTAACTTACCATCTGACACAGTGAGGGATGAGTGGAGTACATCAATTGAATTAGTTACACAGTCCTTGTCTCTATCACACCAGTGACTGTTAACAACTTAAGAAATAAAGAGCTTGACCACAGAGAACATTCTCTTCTTCACAACAACAAAGACACAATGACTTTTTCCACCAAGAAATCATGACATAAAAAAAGCTTAAAATCAACCATTTGTGAACCAATCATTTGATTTCTTAGAATACTGACCACAGATCCAATCAATGTAAACATTATTATTAAAGATGAAATCAGTCAAAACCAATAGAGTAATCTCACTTGAAAAGTATCAGACAAGACCGGTGGATTTGTTTCCCTTTCCAAAATTATGAAATTCAACAGTAAGCAAGAGTTTTGTCCTTTACACCAAATCTTAAAAATAAGACCCTGTTACAAACACTTTAAAAATACTCTTTTCCTATTAGATGCATTGACCAGTGGAATAATTTACAGGAAAACATAGTCCTCAGTTATAGCATTTTGACTTAAAACTCAACTTGATCGGAGCTGGCATAGTCAAAGATTTGATATCAGTGACATGTACTGAGTGTTTTTTCTGTTTATTAATGAAGTACAGGAGGATTTTATAAGCCCTATTGGCTTCATTGCATAGAAAAGAAGGTAAAATTAGCATTGAGGGCATGTCTTACTCATGATAATCATTTATCTTCTTTTTCTGTCAAATGTGTAAACCCCACATTGAAGATGTAGGCAGTGGACTTGTTTAACAACAAAGAAAAGTTAAAAAGTGAAATAAAAGAAGACCGATATAAGATACATATTATAAAATAAACAGGCTGGCAATCTGTAACTAAGCCTATCATCTAGGAAACTTTTGACCGATTTAAGTGTTTGACCTCTTATGCCTTAGGTATTCGTTTTCAATAAGAGTTTTCCATGGCTCACTATTGAAGTTAAAAAGTATGAGGGGGGGTCCACTTGTTTCTGGTTGAAAACTGATACAAGAAGATCATTTACAAGCGTTATAAGTTGTGTCACACAGGATTTTTTTTCTAATGAAAACAGGGTTGTGAAATGCTTTGTGATTGAAGAGGCGACAGAAGAGGTGTTCTAGAGTTCTACATAGTACACATGTCATATTTTACTGTCACAAAACATTCTGTATTTATAGCACTGTTTCTTTTCTTCTTCAGAAAATAGGTCTACAGATTAAAGCTCTTCTTGAGAATATAACAAATTTGAAAGCAGAGGGTGAGGACTTCAGGTGGTTTATCAGAGTATGTATATTGTATATTTATTATTGATTGAAGAAGATCCAATGAGAATTTGAAAGCCATATTTCTCCACTGAGACCAAAATTTATCATTGCTATAAAACATAAAATATGTAGATATTACATAGATCGAGTAAAACGCTGAAGATGAAAAAAAAATCTGCAAAGAATAAGATAGAAATGTACTCGGTATTATATTAAAAATTGGTAATTAGTACAATTTTAAGCCTTATTTGAGTGAAAAAAGTTGCAATGTTTTTCAATTCTGAGTCATTTTGAATTATAGAAATTATTATTCTGGAAAGTGAGGGAATGATCGAAAAATTTTAACACAAGTTATTGGTCCTGACCTACATCAAATTGATATAAATCTATTTCTAGTCCCATCTGACATACCAAAAAAACCTCAGTGGAGTCCCTGTAAAAACATAAATTTTAAGTATATTCTAGGGCACCTAAAATGGAAAGACATGGCAAAAGATAATAGACAAATCTATGGTAGTCTCAGAATTTGACTGAAAATCATATTATTTTAAGTTGAATGTGCTTAGATGCTTTTCATTTTTGAGTCATTTTGCACAATGAAAAATAATATTTTGAGAAGAATGGAGCAAGGTTTTTCAAACAATGAGAAATTTTGCTTTAAAGTCATTTGTCCAGACAGTCACCAAATGGTACACAAATTTCAAATTAATTATTTCCATTCTTTTCATGCCAAAGAACCTCCATAGAATTCATTTCAGATTATAATAATTGGTAATTATATAATTGTTGATTGTAATAAAGTATTATATGTGTGGGAGAATGAAGGCAGACATGTTTACGTAAAATCATGTATTACTATAACAGGTAGCTTGTTTGTTTAGTTATTGCATTTTAAATCAGCAAGCCTACAAATTTCTGCTGAAATTCTTAAATGGACTTTTTCAGATTACATTTTTTGGAACTGTCCATTATCAATTTTGGGGATATTAAGATAAAAATTTAAAGTCAGTCAGCCAACAGTAATTTATATTAAAAGTACAAATTTAATTATTGATTGATTCTGTATTTTCAGTTGAAATGTCTCAACTGTGGAGAAGAAACAGCAAAATTTGAATATTTGACCCTAGAGGTAGGTAACAAAATATACATGTATATTTAAAGCTGGTAACAAGATTTTCAACTTATTGTAATTTGCGTCTTACCTACTGAAGATTACATAGAGATGACAGAAACTTGTGATATTCTGAAATTTCTTTTGATTCTTTAGCAGGGGCTGTTATAGGCATCTTCCCCTCAGAAAAATTCTTGAAATAATTCTGTTATCCCAATTCAATTTACATAAGATTTTTTCGCCCCTTTATGCAAAAAAAAAATGTTATTTTCTCAGCAACCTAAGGAAATGAAGGGCCCCTTCCCCTACATGGGAAAAAAGTCCTTTATTTGAAAAGGATTTATACACTTCAGTCAGAATCTATATTTTGTTTGGGTAAATAGTCCGGAGGTAAGCTCCTAATTTTTATTAAAGGAAGTTGCTCGACATACCTTGTTATTTGACTAGATAATGTGTGTATTTGCAGGAGAATGCTCCATTAAAAGGTGGTAGAGGGCATGCCAGCATGGTGATAAAGTGTAAACTATGTAGCAGAGAGAACTCCATTGGTAACATTACATCTGCTTCTGTTTTAAGCAGTTTGCCTTCAGATCTGTCATGAAAATGTATTTAAAAGTATAATATTGTGAAGTGAACAAAGAATGTATTTTTACAAAGAAGGTAGTTTACACATTGCAAGCTGCACTTTCAGTCTACGTAAATAAATAATCGGAAAGAGGTCAAAATATGCAAAAATAGCTCTGTGTTAGTCAAGCAGTAGAAAAATTGTGATGAATACCGCAGTCCTTTAGATCACACATAACATGTAAATCATTTTGAATCTTTTTATTTTTCTTAAGATCTTAGTACATTTTTCTGAAATTTCAATTTCTTAAAATGTTTTGGCTCATCTGAAGGCTTGCAGCTTTAAATCACTTCAGCTGTAGTGACAGTGAAGAAAGGCCTAAAGTTATCGTAATTTTTAATGTTTTGAAGTAGAGATTCCTTGAAATAACAAGAGCTGTCTGTAAATACTATAGACAAAGGTATTCTTGTTTCTACCCTTGTTCTACAGAAATCTTTGATACTGTAATTTTTGACATTTTAAAGCGTCAAATAATGAATTAAATTTTGTAATTGATGATTACATGTATATTTATTTCAGACATAATGCGTGATACCATAACAGCATACAATGCAGAAGATTCCAACAAGTTTAAAACCATTGTCGTGTTTGATTGTCGAGGAGTTGAACCAATTGATTTTTCACCGAGAGTAAGTTAATAATTTTGTTTTCAGAAATATTAAAATCACTGTTTGGAGTTAGGATGCAAGGAGTTATATTGTGTGTGATAGCCCGAATGATAAAATGATGTGCATCAAGCCACAAACAGTGATTCTATTAAGCGATAAAATCACTGCTTGGGATATGTTAATTCGATTCTACCTTTACCTTCTCCTTCTTCTGAGCATTTAAGCCTAGAAGGCTTGTAAGCTCCTCCTATACAGTATTATCAAGATAACTTCAATAAATGTCACTCGTATTCAATCTTTTACTTTGCCAGTTCCGATCGAGTAAAATTTTAAATGTCAAAACACTTTCACTGAGAACAATGTTTTCATTTAAATTATTTCACTGGTTGATGCATCTAATATGAACATCAACAAATAAATGCTGCTGTACCTGATATCAAGCTAAACTGTGCTTGCTTTGTATACTTATTTTCAGCATGTCGCATTTTAAATGGTTACTTGACATGTCTAAAAATAGATTTTTTTCAACAGTGATTTTATTACAATTTTACACTCACTTTTGGTCCTCCTATGTTTAATAGGAAAAATGCAGGTTGTGTTAGAAATTGGTATATAACATTCCATTTAAATGTACAAAAGTGTATAATGATACTGCATGTTTAAATGTTCAGTATTATTATTAATTTATTATAAATACTTTATAAATACAAATTATAAATACTTTTAGTAGGTTATATGGCAGGTGTATGAACAGCTTTGTTCATCAGATCAGAATGAACTTAGTATTTGCTACAAATATTTATATTTGGCTATATATTTAAATTTGTAAGTCTAATCCTAAGGTATATGTTGAAATGATATATGTTAAAACAAACCTACCTTACTGATTTACCTAAAGATTTTCTCTTGCAAAAAATTTGCATTGAAGTTGTTTGTAACTGTTTTTTGTATGTATACAGGTTGGTTTTACTGCTGAAGGAGAAGAGACTGGTACTAAATTTCCTGAAGTAGATTTAAAGGAAGGGGTGAGTATATCAGTAGGCTGCATAGTCTGTATGATAGACAACAGGTCATCATTAGCATCTGTTTTATCATCATCATTTCTATGTCTAACATCATTAATACAGTAATAATATCTATTTAATTTATCATTAACATTATTTATTTCATTACCATATTTGCCACTATCCTCAATCATTAATACTTTTCTTATCATTACTACTATAATCATCACTACTATTACCATCATCACTACCTCCATTATCAACACTTCCTTCACTATCACTATAACCTACATCATCATTACTACCTACATCAACACTACTACTGTCATCACTACTATTATCATCATCACTACTACCATCATCACTACTTCCATCATCACTACCAACATAATCACTATTATCACCATCATCACTACTTCAATCATCACTACCAACATAATCACTATTATCACCATCATCACTACTTCTATCATCACTACCAACATAATCACTATTATCACCATCATCACTACTTCCATTGTCATTATTACCTACATAATCACTAGTACCATAATCACTAAAACAATTTATTACTACTAACATCATAACTACCTACATCATCATCATCACTACTACAATCATCATCACTACCACCATCATCATCATAATCATCATCGCTGCTACCATCATCACTACAGCCTACATCATCATCATCATTTTTATCATCATCACAACTATCATCATCATAACTTTCATCATCACTAGCATCATCATCATTATAACCATCATCATCACTATTACCAACATCATCAGTACTATCATCATCATTATCACTACTATCATCGTCATTACTATCATTACTATCATTACTATCATCATCACTATCATCATTACTTTCATCATCATTCTAATTTACTATCATCATAACTATCATCATCTTTATAATGATCATCATTACTTCCATCATCATCATTATTATCATCATCATCATCACTACTATCATCATCACTATCATTACTTTTATCATCATCACTACCATTATCATCACTCAGACTTCCTGAAAGCCATCGGACCGATGGGCATGACTGACATATTTTCACACGGTCCGACAATTCATAAGATAAAGTTGGTCGGTCTGACTGTCCGATAAATTTTGCAGGGGCAAGGGAGACTAATACTGATGAATTCCTCGTTTGTTGCTAGCGAGTTACTCTTCCTTGAAAACCGTGTTATGTAAAAATTATTTTCATTTGTCAATATAGTGAAATAGACCAATGGCTGATAGCCGTACAATTTGCGTTTACAATACACAGTAAACATGGCATGCATGAAGTATTACGAAGGCAGAGTGGCTGGAAAAAAGAGAAAATAGACACTGTCAGAAAGAAGAGAAAAGAAAAAAATAGAGTATAAAAAACTGGCCTGATAGGAGATTTAACGCAAATGGAAGAAAGGGCCAGAATGGCTGATTTTATCACGATGTAAAAAACAAAATGTGCTTTTCCTCAAGTTTACAAATGTTAAAAAACACAAAAAATTAAGAAATAAATTCAAATAATACATTTATAACTGGATGTTCAAATTTTCATATTACTGCTGTCGAAGATCGTAAATTATTGTACATTTAATTTGACGGGGTGGTCGACAAACTGTACAATCCAGATAAGGAGGATAAATGTTAAGACTTTCAGGATGATCTGTTAAACTTTAATAACAATAAACTGATGCTGTATAACAGGGATTGAGTTTAATTTGAAGATTATTGAAATAAAGGGAAAATGTTGTTTAAAGCCTTGCTTGTTTTCAGATTACTATAAATGTGTCAGTCTGACAGATTCTTTGTCGGTCTGACAAAATTCAAAGGTTTGTCAAACTGAATGTCTGACACTTTTTTCAAACTTTCAGGAAGTCTGATCAGTGCCATAATCATCACTACCATCATCATCATTACTATCATTATCAATACTACTATCATTATCACAATCACTATCATCATCACTACCATTATCATCACTACCATAATCATCACCACCATCATAATCATTAATATCATCATCATAACTATCATCATCATCACTTACATCATCATCATCATTAATATTGTCATCATCACTATCATTATCATCCTATAATCATCATCACTACTATTGTCATCACTACCATTATCATCATTTCAATATCATCATCATCATTACTACCATCATCATCATCATCATCACTATCATCAACATCAAAACTTTTGTTATCATCACTACTATCATCATCATCATCATCATTATTACCATCACTACTACCGTCATTATTGTATTTATCTGAACTTGCTTTATTAAAATGTAATGAATATTTAAATGTTCTTCATATTTAATTGATACTGTAGAACAAACTTGAATAATTAAGTATATCTTTGAAATTTTGAGATCTAATCATTCTGAAGAAAACTTCATAAATTACTTAATAAAAATATTAATTAGCATAGATAGATTTAAACTATATATTGGTTTGTTTCTGGTTTCAGGAATGGGTAGACTATGATGAAAAGAAAAAAGAATCTGTGTCAGTTACGGAAATTAAACATCAATTTGTGACTGTAAAGTGAATAAATACTTATGATATATGTTTTTAATATATTGTTCAACAGAATAGACAGAGAGCTGTGTGTTTGACTGGTTTTAACACCATACCTGATCCATGATAAAATTAACAATTGTTGAAAAAAGGTTATAAAATTCAAATTTAAACGTAATTTAATGATTGTATTTTCTTTTGAATGGAATGTTATTTGATATGAAGTTGGTTTCCTTCTTTGTGTGAAATAACAGAAATGATAGCATGTTAAAATTCAAATTTAAATGTCATTTGATGATTAAGAAAAATTGTTTGATACAAGTTTAAATGTGAACAAAGAGGAATGATAGCATTTGAAACTTTACTTCCTGATTTAATTTTGTCGTGTTTAACCCAATAAACCAGGCATTAATTTATATAGAATATACTGAAAAGTTTTGCTCAATGAATATAATACATTGCTTAATAAATATAAATTTTATTTAGTACATGTCATACTTCTTGTGGAAAAAGATGGCAATAATAAAGATTTCACAAAATAATAAATGCGCAACCCATTGAATATCATAGATCAAGTGCATGATTTTATTGTGTAAAGTAGAATAAAATATTGTTTATTTTAATGGATAATAAATCATGATTTAACAGGAAGCTGGCCTGTTTATTCTTAACCTGTAGAGTGAAAACATGCGAGGTTTCTAGACTCAGCAATAAATTAATTTCACACTTTTGAACATTCAGACATTTCATTTCATATCTGAAAAAATTGAAAAATACTGAAATATTCAACATACTTCTTTATTTGTAACCGAGGACAGTTTGGGAAGACAAAACTTTGAGCAAACATCATTTTCGGTAGAGAACAATTTAGCAGACGACATTTCCCCAAGCATTCTTAATTGTTCAGCAAACAAATCAAATAAGCTAATTTCTCAGCATGGTTAATTATATGTCACATATTTCACTTACAACACATCAATAGTTATTATGTTATTGAATTACTAATTTTGCCATAAAATTCCACATTTAGTTTTTCTTTTATGTAGTGAGACAGCAATAGAAGAAAAGAAAATAGATGTGTAACGCATTTTATTTGCCTTCAAAAGGATTTAATGCTATCATGTATTTATTATATTCACTTAACATGTATACTTCCTAGGATAGAAGTAAAATGTATGAAGAAAATTGTTTGTTATCTATGACAACAAGTTCAGAATTTGTTTACTACAAATATTTGTGTACCTGTGTGACTCTAAATATTTAGCTGTTATCTCACATATTTATTGATTGATAAATGCGTCATCAGTAAGCTTTTTATACGCCTGTTTCAAAAATGGGTCATAATATAGGATTGCTCCTTGTGGGCGGACGGTCTGGCGGGCAGGTGGCATCCAATTTTGTCAAGAGCTTATCGAGGGATTTTATTAAAATAACATAGAAATGTTCACCACTATGAGAAGCAGTGTCCAAGCATGAACAGGTCTCTAGATAAAAGGTCAAGGTCACACTTGGAGGTAATTGAAAAAACACTTGTCCGAAGCAAATCTTTTACATGCATTAAGGGATTTCAATATTACTTGGCACAAATGTTCACCACTGTGCACGTAAAACTCAGGTCCCTGCAAACAAGGTTAAGGTCACACATATAGGTGAAAGTTCAAGTAAAAATATAAAGATTTCTATAAGGACAAATTTAGTCATAATTTATTTAGGGATTGTAACACATATGGTTAGTATCAATACTATGCCTGTGACACATGTAATTTAGGTCAATATATGCAAGGTCACAAAAGATGATGAAATATACAGATTTGTTCTGGAGCATATATCCTACACGCCTGGAGATAATTTAATGAAACGTCATAGAAATGTTTACCACTGTGATAACCAGTGTTTCCAGCATAAACCTGGTCTGTAGGTCAAAGGTCAAGGTCACACATAGAGGTCATTGAAAAAACGCTTGTCAGGTGCAAAACTTCTACATGCATAGAGGGATTTACTTATATGTTCACCATTTTAAGGTAGAGTATATTGCGCAAAATTCAGGTCCCTGTGGCTAAGGTCAAGGCCACATAAAGGTTCAAATGAAAATGTGTATAGGGACCATTTAGTTATTATTTATTGAGGGATTGTTACACAAATGGTCATTATCATGACAAGTTCCATGGACAACTATCACATTCGTTTATTTCTACAAACAAACAAAATTATATGTTGATATGCAACATCACTGCTATGATAGAAAGTATCTGGAATCATCACTTCTATCATCATCATAAATATCATCACTACATTCATTATCATTTCTATCATTATCACCACTACTATCATCACTAAAATCATCATGATTACCAATCTTCATAACTACCAACATCATCATTACTTCCATCATCATCAACACTTCCATCATCATCATCATCATCATTATTACAACCATCAGCACCATTAAAATAATCATCACTTCTATCATCATCACTACTTAAATCATCCATACTACATTACACTTCTATCATCAATCTTTTTCTACTATAACCATATTCACTACCATCATAATATCTTCCATCATTATCACCACTTTCATCATCACTACTATCATCATTATCATCATCACTACCATTATCATCTCAACTTTCATCATAATCAGAATCATCATCATCATCATAACTTCTACCCTAATCATCATTGTTATTATCATCATCATTACTACTACCATCATATTCATCACTACTTTTATCATATTTACTATCATCATCATAACTACCATAATCATCAATATTATCATTATCACTACAATCATCATCACTACTATCATCACTAGTATAATCATCATCATCACTAACATCATCATCACTATCATCATCATCACTACAATCATAATAAAAACTATCATTATCATCACTACGATCATCATTACTTCTACCATCAATTTTATTATCATCATCATAAGTACTATCATCATCATTATAATCATCACATTTATCATTATCATTACTACTATCATCATATAAACTATCATCATTATCATCATGATTATCATCATTATTGCAAACATAAACAATAGTCCAAGAAATCCGTGCATAAAATAGGGTGAATTGTGCACCTCTTGTGAAAAGCATGAAACTTGGCATGGTGGCAGGAAATAGTATTTCAATTCATTTTAGCCTGGGATCCACTTTTCAAAAATCCAATATGGCCGCCAAAATCCAAGATGGCCGCTATATATAAAAATTTAAAGAATATTTGGGTATTTCAGCTTTAGTCATACCTAGAATAGTATAAAAAAGCATCAGTTCATTATATTACAGATTAATTTATATTGAGGCCTCTGATCCAGGTTGTGCAAATCCAAAATGGCCGCCAAAATCCAAGATGGCCGCCATTTATTTTAATTTTTCAAAATATTAAAGTTTTTTAGCTGTATTCTTTACAGGTCAGTATGAAATAGCACCACTTTATTATATTACACATTTATATATTCAAGCCTCGGATCCAGGTTGTGCAAATCCAAGATGGCTGCCAAAATCCAAGATGGCCGCCATATTAAAATTTTCAGAATGTAATAGTTTTCATCTGTTGTCGTCATTACAGAACAGTATAAAATAAGATCATTTTAAAATTATGGTATTGCATATTTATTTATATTCACGCCTTGGATCTAGGTTTTGCATATCCAACATGCTTGCCGAAATCCAAGATGGCCACCATGTTGAATTTTTCAGAATATGTTAGCTTACCAGCTGTAATCATTTTCAATTTAGTATAAAATAGCACAAAAACATTATATTTCATGTTTTTTAACCATACCAGCATGAAGAAAATTTTTGGGAGCCGTATTGTATTTGCCTTCGCCGTCTGTCTGTCTGTCCGTTTGTCCGCATTAAGCTTGTCCATCTTTCACAGGTCAAACTACAGGTGGTATTTCAACTTAGCTTAACAGGAATAATCAGTACCTTTTTTTTCTTTTTTTTGATGCGTTTATTTAAGGTCGCCGCCGGAAAGCCCATATGGGCGACCGTACACTCAAATCGGGCCATCCAAGCGCGTCCCGCCGAGATTTTTCGTCGATTTTTTTCCAGCTTTATTGGTGGAGGAAACCGGGCATTATTTCAGGCACGAGCGGGCACCTGGGTAGAACCACCGACATTCCGTAAGCCAGCTGGATGGCTTCCTCACATGAAAGATTTCGACCCGAGTGTGGATCGAACCTACAGCGGTGATCTCAAGTCAGCGACTTTAACCACACGGCCATGGAGGCCCCCTAACCAGTACCATCCAAAGTTGTGGACATCACTGTCACATTCCGCTTTGCTGCACAACATGGCCGCCAGAGCTAAAAGCAGAAATATCTTGCCCGGCCTTCACTGGTCAAATTACTGGTTGAATATCAACCAAACTTTACATGAGAGAGCAGAAATATCCCTAGTTGTGCATACACATCACCAGCATATTTCGCTTCGCTGCACAAAATGGTCTTCGGAGCTATAAATAAAAAAATATTGTCAGGCTTTCACAGGTCAAGTTACTGGTGGGATTTCAATGAAACTTCACATGAGTGACCATGCATAATTTTGGGAGACATATGTTTTTGTGACAAAAACCCATTTAGTTATGAAACTGTTTTAAAGCAACCAATCCATAGTGAAACGTGCTCATAATTAAATTGCTCAGATTTATTTTTACTTGATTTACGAAAACTCAAAAGAATATTTAAAATAAAAAATGGAAGTTAAACTATCTCATAATTTCATTATCTGCCCGTTCATAAAAATCTCTTTGCTAATTTTAAGTAATTTCAAGTTCAAAGAACTTGCAATCCAACTAAGCTGAGCCTTATTCCAATGATATAATATGTAGCTGACCTCCTATTGGGTCATTGTGCAAGTGCTAAAGGAATAGTATAGAAATTGTTGTATATTTTTACCAACAGCTATGTAATTTTCCCTAAAAAGAAAACAATTTATAATAATTTCAGAGAATTCTAGACTCTGTAATTTGTATCTTGATAAGAATATAAAGTTAAACGTAACCCAAGGACACATGAAGTAGTTTGTGTTCAGAGTCAAAAGTGACCAGTTCTTTAAAAAAATTGTGGATACTAGGCTGAAATTGTTAGAAATAATGATATTTCAACAGTTGTACATCAGGTTGCTTTTATACTGACTTAATTAAGCAAGGTAATGTTTAAAGTGTTATCAACTAATACTTATCAGTATAAACAAGAAAACTTTAGTCAATTATCTATAATTAACACCTATTGATCTAGTACTGAACGTCTGTCAAGTTAAAGGTCAATTGTTCATTGTTATTGTGATTCTAGGAGTAAATAAAAAATAAAATAAAAAAATGCTGAAGAAATGGCAACCTCATGAATTAAGCTAAATGCGACATGATTTCACTAGTTCTTGTGTACAGTCCTTTTATGACAGTTGTGGAAACCAAACAGAAATTATTTAATCTAAGTAAACAATTTATAATTTGTGAAGAGTTTCCATTGTTTTTGAAATACAAAAAAAACAACAACAACAAACAACTGAGATTATAAATCAACTATTATACTGTAATAATAGAAAAAACATATGATTATGTAGGCTTGCTTTAAAATATAAAAGGGAGAAATTAACAAGAAATTTAAGAGCGTTGCCCCTGAAATGCAGCCCCGAAATTCGCAGTAAGTCAGTAACTTAGTATCTCAATCTTACAATTGGAATCTCATATCAAAATTATCAAATAGAAAGAGCTGCAAAAGTCTAAACTTGATCTCATATAGTCACGAATTACTAATCTTAATAATGTCAAACACTTAAGTTTCATTACAGAAAAACCCAAGATATTTTGTTCAATATCATTCTGTTTTTCTTGTTTATTCACAAGACCTTGCCAAAATAATGACTAATGACATAATAAGAGTCTGATTCCGTTATCTATGACACAAAATATATGCTGCTTAAATTACTAATGAAAAAGAACTCACAGCTGCAGTAAGACGATCACAAGCATGATGCAAACTAAATTTATTAAAAAAAATTGACAGGAGAAGAAACCCTTACGTCTCCGACACAAACTAGTAAAAATCATCCTGAACATTTGGTTCAAATAAGCTAAGGAATTGTGTGCACTAATATATACAATACAATACAAGGATTATTTCACACTTTTCATGCATTAACATCTACAGAAGCGTGAAGACGCATTCTGAGCCCTCATTCTATGGGCTCAGGTTTCAATTTCTGTAGATGTTGATGCACAAAATATGTATTAAGTCATTCTGTTTCGGTGTTTCGGTGATTATACGATATGTTGTTTTCCGCATAAAGAAGCTAGTTTTGTATTGATTTTAACTATAATTTTTGTGTGTTATGTTTTGATAATAAGGTAACTGGGGATCATTATTAAAATCAGCGGCTTTGCATGGTATCAGAATCATGCACATTGACAAGAGCTATTGGTAGGACATCAGAAAGTGTTAGACTGTTCTCGGTACTTTATAGCTAAATAAGAACCTAGAGTATGAAGAATTCTCTATATTTAAAAGGGACATAATTCTGTCAAAATCCATGATAGAGTTATTGACCTTTAGCGGTGACCTTCTATTATGCTAGCAAATAAAAGTATTAGGGTTAAACGTATTCCATCATGAAGTCATAAAAAACTTGTAAAACAGACGCCTAAATTGGTGTACAATATCACTTGCTCCCTATTCTTTGAAATATCAAGCTAAATAATGTGCTCGCATGGTTTTATCGATAAATGCAAGTTTATTTCTCTGTAAATGTACATCTGTATATGCAGTTTTATGCAGGAATACCACTTTTTTAGTTTGTTGCATGTATTACATGTATTAAAAGTTCTGATGATACAAATTACCTTTATTATAGAAATTTGTCAAAATATCATCATTTAATGGCAGCCATATTGGATTTTGAAGCCATATTGAATTTTCTACCAATGCTACTTAAGCATTTTTCCAAGAAATTACTATTTTTGACCTACAATGTCAATTTATATCATTTTTCTAGTCATAAATAACTTCATTTTGACATGCCCTGTGTACATTTTAAATTTTGGCGGCCATCTTGGATTTTGGCGGCCATCTTGGATTTTTAAAAAGTGGATCCCAGGCTGAAATAACTTGAAATACCATTCCTTGACACCATGCCAAGTTTCATGCTTTTCACAGAAGGTGCACAATTTTTTCACAAATTTCTTGGACTACAATACAATTTTTATTATTATTACTACAATCATCGCTACCACCATCATTACCAACATCATTATTATTACTACTATCATCATTATAATCACTACTGTAATCATTGCTGCTATAATCATTATTACTACCATCACTTTAAATAAAAATCTCATCATCATCATCATCATCATTGCTACCACCAGCACTATCATCATTATGATCGTTATCATTTATGCTGTTAAAAATTATACTACCAACTTTATCTGGACTTGATTTATTATAATATATGCCCTTCACATTAGAATAAATGATTAAGTATGACTATAAAATTTTGAGATCTGATCATTATGGTGAAAACTTAAAATCTTACTTACTATACATGAAATATTAATTGATACGTTTAAAATCTCTTTGTTCTTGGTTCAGGAATGGGTAGACTATGATTTAAATAAAAAAATATGTGTCAAATAGGAAATTAAACACAAATTTGTGACTGTTTAGTGAAGAAATACTTATAACATATGTTTTTTAATATATTGTTTAACAGAATAGACAGAGAGCTGTGATTTTGAATGGATATAACACCATACCTGATCCATGATACAATTAACAATTGTTGAAAAAAGGTTTTAAGATTCAAATTTAAACGTAATTTAATGATTGTATGTTCTTTTGAACGGTATGTTATTTGATATGAAGTGGGGTTTTTTCTTTGTGTGAAATAACAGAAATGATAGCATTTAAAACTTTACTTCCTGATTTAATTTCGTCGTGTTTCACGTAATAAACAAGGTATCAAAGTTTATAATATATACTGAAAACTGTTGCTTAATGAACATATAAGAAATAAAGTAAAAAATGAGTAACAATTTTATTGTTTAAATATAAAATAAAAATACTGATTTTTTTTCAAAGGATAAGAAATCTGATAAAAGGGAAGCTGGCCTGTTTATACTTACTTAGCGTCCGGAGCTTTCTAGATTTTACAGTAAACTCGTTTTACTCTTTTGATTATTCAAACATTTAATTCAAAATCTAAGGAAATTGAAAAATACTGAACATTTAACATACGACATTTCCCAACGCGTTCAGCAAAATTCCAATAAGCTATATATTTAAACGAGCTAGTGTCTTAATTTTTCAGCATGGTATTTAAGTATTTCACTTTTAACGCGTCAGTTGTAATTATGTGACGCAATTGCTGATTTTGCCACAAAATTCTTCATTGTAGTGCATTTATTTTGCCTTCTAAAAGATTTAATGCTATCGTGTACATTTGTATTTACTATGTTTACTTAACATGTATATTTCATAGGATATAAGTAAAATGTATCAGAAAAAATGCTTTTTATTTGTGTTTTTATCCATGACAACAAGTCGGACTTTGTTTATTACAAATGTTCATGTTCCTGTGCGGCTCTAAAGATTGACCTTATACTTTTTAACATTTATTTATTTTTAAATGCTTCCTTAGTAGGCTTTTAATTCATAACAAGTTTTCCGGTAGGTAGTCTGCAGGAGATTGTCAGAAAACAAGATAAATTGCCTTTTTTGTCTGTTCTAACATATTTACACAAATTCCTAGAGCGTCGTAATGAACATCCCAGATAACACTTCTTGTTATTTCGGTCACAAGTGCTGCGCGATAGAAGCTAATGTGACACTCTCTAAGCTCTCTGTCACAACGAAGTTCAGCATACTGGACTGTGGTTTTGGTCTGTCGTTGGGGGATATGTGTTTCAGTCATTAGTCGATTGGCCAAAGTGATCATTTGAGACATTAATCTCACTTTAAAGGTGTCCCTTTTATACCCGTTGGCGGGCTTAGACCCTAGCACCACATTATGCAGATTTAAACTTGGATCTGTCATTTACTTAACCCGTTGTTTGCTTTGACCGTTGCTACAAATCAAACAATATCAGACAAGAAACCGTAAACCTTGGCATCTAGTCAGGCACCAGACTGGTTCACAGTTGCCATTTATTTTTTAAATTTGAAGAAAATAGTAAAAAATATAAAAGCAGTCGACAACCTTAGAAGACGACAATTTTACAAGAATGCTAAGGGTAAATGAACTGGATTTTCCTTACATATTTTCTTTGCTGTAAAAAAAAGATTTTAACTATTTGATATGAAATGAAAAAAAATTGTCTTTATAATACGAAGAAATAAGATTTGTCTGATCAGGATCCTTGCTGTTCGCTATCAGTTTCTCTACTTGTAAAAGGGTTGGTAAGCGAACAGCACGGATGCGCAGGCTGGTCTGGATCCAAGCTGGTCGCAAACGCACTATGTTGGTTTTGTCGTGACGCGACTCATTTTCTTATGAAGATTTTTTATCATTGATTTTACAGCATTTTAACATAATTCTTGCTTGAAATAAAGGTGCGCATGAAGGTATACATCACTGGGGAAGAAACATGCAATAACGGATTAAATCACGTCTTTGGTACAATGTAAACAAGCTTATTGCAATGACCGCCTCGGTAGTTCCTTATTTTCAAATGGCATTGCATTAGCACGTGCATAAATGGTGAACCCGTATTCTTTACTTGCAATACAAATTACCGAAGCAGACGTATATTTTATGCAAGAATAGTACGGTTTTCTATTTTGTCCACAAAATTTCGCTAGTAACACGCGATAATTACCGCCGCTAAAGGACGATTTTAATAGCTACTAGTAGTCGCTCGTGTCGTCTTTTCTATAAACCAGGGACACTTTTACAAAATTTTGAACATAATTTGGCTATTTAGAGACTATAATGATCGCGTGTTTATTAGCGAAATTTTATGGACGAAACAGCAATCGCTCTTTTTAAAATGTGTCTTATATTTCAGGTAAAAACTATTTACATAGCTACGGCATATCAAGTGACTCGAATTCCTTGATGTTATTTATGCTGAAAACTTCCGTAATTCAGTAATATGTCGGTGTGCAGTTATTTTTCATCATCATCTTCATCATCAATATCATCATTGTCGTCGTCATCATCATCATCATCATCATCATCATCATCATCATCATCATCAATATCATCATCGCCATTAACATAATCATCATTTTCATGACAATAATCATCATTATTAATTTAATAATCATCATCATCACCACCACCTCTACCATCACATTTATTATCATTATTTAGAAATAATTATTACTGTTGTTGTTGTTGTTATTGTAATTATCATTAGTATTATCACTAGTACTAATGATATGACAAATAAATAAATACGCATCACATCAACATACATATGGATTACAATTTTAGACTTATTACATTTTTACGTATTTAATTCAAATTTTAGATAAGGAAGTCGTTGTTTTAAGACTTGCATTACATTCGGCAGTTTCAAAATCCCCTACTTTTGTTAATGAACTGTTTACCCACTATTATATTTCGTTTGTTGAATAATTGTTGCTGATGATAGAATTTTCGATACATTTCAATGAACGTTTGCTTTAATATAAATATCATTAATCTAGGCTAATTTGTTTAGTGTCCGTTTCAAACGAAAAAAATAATGAACGCATTTTTTAAACAGAATGGAAGGTGGAATTTTTGAAAATAAAAAGTGATAATTTCAGGTGCAAATATTTGAAAAGGGACAAAATGAAAGCACTTAGATTATTTTTCATTCTAGCTGGATTTAATGTGGTCAAGTGTTCTCATTTCGGAGGTGGGGTGTTCATGTGGGCTCCCTTAAATGGTGGTAACAGTGTAAGTGAAATTTATTTATAATTTTTCATAAAGCAGCATGCCACTTAATTCATGCCAATTTTCATGATTTTTTTTAAATAAATGAAAAAGTAAAATAATGGCAAGTAAATTAATAAATTAATTTACACCTTGCCCTAACTGTGTTAGCACGCATAACAAATATGGTGATAGATACTGCAAAATCAGTCATTAAACACAAATAACATGTGATATATTACTTGAAACTTGAATCTTTTTTACTTTTCTTAAAATCTTAATTCATTTTTCTCAGGATAGATTTTCTTGAAATAATTTGGCTCATCTGGAGGCATGCAACAAAAGGGATTTTAAGGTTTTAAAAAGAGTTTGTTATTTGATTTTTCTCACGACCAAGATAATGAAATTTACACTACAGAAAACATTTAATAGTAATTTAATTTTTAATTTGAAGAGTAATTATTGAAAATAAGTAAATAAATAGGAAGGTAAAATGGCTAAATTTACACATCATTTGGTTTTCTTTTTTTCCTTATATTATCATAATTTAATTTATAGTTGTATTCGAAACAATTTTTAAACGCACCAGTTAGATATTCATATTAAAATTTCAAACATGAATTAAAAAAAATAGAAAGAAACAGGACACTTACTTCAAAATATATGACATTCTGTGTTAAAATATATGCAAATATTTCCTGATTGACTTGCATGCGTGTAAATATTGAAGCAAGAAATACTTATAAATGATAATTTTGTATTACTTACAATCTTTGGAGAGGAGCGGCACATTAGAAAATACTCATTGTGCAATATGAGTTTCTTTACAGAGACAGGGTCATGTAACGCCTCTTTTTTGGGACAAACACACTTTGGGGTCCGATCCCAAAGTATGTTATGTGCTTTGGAATCCAATCCAAAAGGGCGTTACGCAATTTGGCATCAAACTTTGACCCAAAGTGCGTTACAGTGTTATTTATGCAATATTTAACAACAGGCAAAGGACTGCAGTTTGGGGTTATGTCAGTTAAACAATAAAAACGACTTTTATGATTTTTAAAGCAATATCCTGTAGTTATTAACTAAAGTAAGCGAACTGTACTCGTATTAAGTCGGATAACAGTTTGTACTACATGTATTTTGTTATCTAAGGGTTGCAATTTGAGATTAATTATACTATTATATTCAGTTTTATGTCTCATGGAAAAGAGACCTTCAAGTGAGATATATGTCTATAAATATTTTTGATGTCTATTGAGTGTAATGATACATTATATAACATATTATTTAAGCTTTGCCCGTGCATCGATAGTTGTATATGTTGCGTGACACACACATTTGAATACGATTAAAATCGAGAAATCACAGGATCTGGTGACGACCCGTTAAATTGTGGATTTTCCCTTTTTCTAGTTTAATCTATTGAAATGATTCTGCAATATTATTACTATTTAATAATAATGAATCTTGTATAAGAAAACAGAAATAATGACTTGTAGACGAGTGCTGTATGTCTCGGGTCACCTTTATCTCATTCAGGTTATATTATTCCGTATATCCCGTCAGCAACTTGTATGACTAATGATATAACATTTTCTAGAACAAAATATTATGTTTATACCTTATCATATTTTTGTTTCAAGAAATATTTTCAATATTTGAAACACTTATGGAAAATGTGCACCTATAGACATTACCACTTTAAAGTTTTTCTTATCCAGGAATTCATTCTACGTCGCATCAAGTGTGCACATGCTGTAAGAACTTAAGTCATTTAAAGATTTAAAGGAAAGAAACTGTTTCCGAGCAAAAAAACAACAAAAAAAACAACAAAAGCAAATAAAAGCAACACTATAAAGACGGCTAAAACATATGCGCACATCTTTCTTCAAAATTTCCATGCATTGCCTATCTGTTTGAAATCTGTTTGAAACCTTTGTTCATCTTCCTATTACATTTCGCGCATTACCCATTATATATGACTGTTACAATCCATGCGCACATCTTCTTCTACCATTCCGCACATTGCTAATTAAGACTGTTACAACTCATGCACACAACCTCCTATACATTCTGCACATTGCTAATTGTGACTGTTACAACAAATGCGAACATCTTCCTCTTACATTCCGCGATTTGCCCATTAAGACTGTTACAACACATGTGAATATCATCTTATGACATTCTGCGCATTTCCCATAAGACTGTTACAACCCAAGTGCACATCTTTCTATTACATTCCGCACATTCTCAATTAAGATTGTTACAAAACATGCGCATATCTTCCTCTCATATTCCGCATATCCCTATTAAGAATGTTGCAACACATGCGCATATTTTCCTCTTACATTCCGCGTATCCCCATTAAGACTGTTACAACACATGCGCATATCTTCCTCTTACATTATGTGCATTCCCCATTACAACAAATGCGTATATCTTCCTCTTATGTTCCGCACATTCCCCATTATAACCGTTACAACACATAAGCATATCTTCCTCTTATATTCCGCGCATTCCCGTTAAGACTGTTACAACACACGCGCATATCTTCCTCTTCAGCTCCAGGATTTCATCTTCATAGAATTGAAATCGCGTTAATTCACAAAGTTTAAATCGTGCAATTGGAAAGTGGGAATTGTGAATCGTGAATTCATGAAGTTAAAATTGTGAATACCTGTCTTCCGTAGAAATGTTAATCTCCACATACAATTATTTATGGTTTACACCAATCAGAACATATCACGTAATAACCCTATAAACGGTGAATTGTTTTATAAAGATTTAAATATGGACAAGTTCATTTAAGATATTTAGCGGGTTAAGGTTTAATCTTTTCAATATATCTAGATATTTATCACTGGGACAAGGAAGTTTGGGTTTGAATGGTTGATCTACTTTTATTCTTTGCTACATAATAGAAATCTAAAAGCATTTCAATGCCGAATATGAAATATGCTATATACATTTTAGTTTTGATTGAATCCAATTATCGTTATTATTGTACTTAACTAGCTTTTAAAAAGATATAACGTGTTTAAACAGTAAATCTTTTTTTAAGTTTAATGGATTCTTTGACAAATATGCAAAAACTGACACATGTTTGAAAATAGAAACAAAAATATGAAAGTGCTCGGATTAATTACATTTCTTCTTTGGTTTAATTTAACAAAATGTGATCATTTTGGGGGAGGAGTGTTTATGTGGGCTCCCTTGAATGGTGGTAACAGTGTAAGTCAAACTATTAATATTGTTTGAAGCTGAGATAAAATATTTTAAGAAAATGATAAAAAGAATACTGAAAATTTAAGAAAAGTAAAAAGATTCAAGAATTAATTAATAATTTACTTGCGATGTACGATCAAAACTGATTAGCAGTATTCACCACATTTCTTCTGTATGACTTACGCTATAAAGGGGTAATTTTGCATATTTTAATAACAAGTTACATAACATGAAAATAGAATTATATACATTTTTAGAATCTACATAAAACTTAGACATTCAAAAGATCGTGAATGCGTGTTATTCTTACGGTATGATAAGATACATGTATTTAGTCTAACTTACTAAGAAACTGAACATGTGTTACCTTCTTTAAATAAATATTATTATCATTATTATTATTTTAACATTGCGCTTCTTCCTTTTTTGTTGTTGTTTATCTCTGGTCTGAAGGTGTAGATGCTATTATGTCTATTTTGATAACGCTCATAGAGCTATTATAGTTAAAATACCATCAAATTTAGTAAACATTATTCTGACAAACAATTAATATTTGTTCGGAAAATGTTTCTTCCCTTCTCCGAACACTTCATTGACTCAGGTACACACTTATTTTCGTGACAAATATTTTTGTGTATGAGCAGTTCCCGCCTCAGGTCACGGCAACACGTAAAATATTCCAAAACGCGGGAGCCATGGATTTCTTGTTACACAATATGGTGGCTGATTTGTGTCATTTCTTGTTTTCGCCCCGCGATCCCGCCAAGCGCAAAGGACGCGGAGCGAAAACACGCTAATTAGCGGGAACGCGTGGCAAGATTAAATAAATAAAAAAAAGTCGCCCCGCGAGGGTGCGGAGCAAGATTAGATAAATAAAACAGCCGGGGCGCGGAGCTAATGTCCGCTAATTAGTTTTATTAGTTTATTAGCGCCCCGCTACGAATGGCACAAATCAGCCACCTTTAAAACGTAATTTAATACTGGGATTTGGTGAAATAACTAGAGTACAAATACTCCCAAATTGAAGATAGATATAAAAGTAAACATTGCATTCTTTATATGTACAAAATGTCAACCTGTTGACATTAATTCAAATTTTGTAATAAGTGTGCATCAATGGACGTTTTTAAAATAATTGTGATTGAAGGCATATTTTCAATCAGAATTTTATCGAATGAGACTTTATTTTTCTTTCCAAATATACATTATATTTTTGCGCAATATTGATCTCAGACACAATAATATTCGGGAGGGTTTTCGCTAGTTTCTGTTATTAATTATGATTTACGCCAAAGCATTTTGATAACGATATAGTTCTCGAAATAGATTAATTGTTACTACTCGACGACCTGGTGGTAAGTACGACGGAGTTTTGACTGACCATGTAGGTGCAAGTTCGAATCTTGGACAAACCTTTTCTGCAGATTTCATAAACTGATTATTTAATTTTGTAACTGTTTGAAATCAGAGTTGATAAATCGTGTGTTTCAGTTCTAGCATGTTTTTATTTAAATACACATATTTTTTTTAAATTTTTATTAACTTAATTATGTACACTTTACATAGTGATTCGCATGCATAACACATAATGGTCAAATTTTGCAAAATATAACGAAAAACAATTAATTCGAACCTACATGTAAATAAGGCAGAGAATTATTGTGGCATTACTTTTATTAATACATTAGCAAATTAGCAAATATCTATTCACAGTTACTTTGAATAGGTTAACTTCCTGATCAGACAAATACGAGAAAATCTCCAATAAACCAAGGGTAAATCGATAACATTTTCATTCTTCACTCTTTTATTCTCAATGTTCTACATTAATGGTAGGACAAAACCCCACCAGTTAAAACCCCACCACTCAAAATTTTATAGAGTGGACAAAACCCCACCACTAAATTTTATAGAGTGGACAAAATCCCACCACTAAATTTTACAGAGTGGACAAAACCCCACCACTTCAGTTTTATAGCAAACCTATCAAAGTTCATGATGAACAATGTCTTTTGTCCTCCATTTTATATATGATATACAATTCTGGTAAACCACTAAACACTTTATAAGAACATCTATCTGATGTCTACTAGTTCATCGTCATTTGCTGCATTTCTTCTTGGACGCCCTTTGATGCTTTGCATCAATGCTTTTCTTGTTATATCATGATATATCATTTGCCGCGAAACATGCAAAGGACATTTTGAGAAGTAAAGTCCGTGAAAGTTTTTGTTTTGGCTTATTTATATTTCTTACCATGATTTGTTTGATTTGATTGTTGATATTTGTAGAAAATGAGTAGGATTATAGGTGAAAAATGTACATGCTTTGATATTCTTATCATCTTATATTACTGACTACAGTAGTGACACTGTTGCACTACTGTCATGTCACATTATTTTTACAAGTCTTGTAAGTCTTGTTTGTATTCAATTACTTTCATTACCAGGTGCGCATCAGTGAAAGCATATTTTTTTTAATTTGATATACGACCCCTCTCTAATGGACAGTGCATACGATAAGTATAATTATGCAAGAATGATTTACAAAACATTCGGAATAATGTACAATAGTACTTAATCTGAATAGAACATGACCTGTGCGTAGGAATGATTTGGTAAGGTATCTGTAATGAGTGCATTTTTTGCACTGAGATCGCAGCAACATTTTGTACTTGTTAAGAGTGTATTCAGCTCGCGGGATATCAGAACTTATGCCAAAAAGATGTGAATTTATACGATTTCATGTTGGAAATTTCTTGCATTTCCTTTTATCCATGAAAATAGCTGTGATTGTCAATGTGACCGTCGATGATTCTGGACTCAAGTCAACGGATTATTTGTCGTATGCGTCTAAATATAGGCCTATGTAAATATTCATGACCATTTAGTTATTTATTGCTTCGTATTTTAAATTTTACAAAATAACAGATACAAGTTACTGAATATAGCTCAGAGTTTAATTAGCATTGCTCTGTAAGTCTAAGAAATTCTGGAACGAATTTCAATATAGCGGGGAAGTATGTCACGTTTCAGAACTGTTCACTATTTATTGGAGAAGATGTGTAAGCGCCTGGATAGCTCAGTCGATAGAGCTGCGGAACGGTATTCCGAGGGTCCCGGGTTCTAGTCTCAGTCGGCCTGCACATTTTTCGCACCCTTTGACAATATATCGATTGATAGATATCATAATTTGCTTTTAGAATGAAAGAACAATAATTTCTCATGTACATTTATAACTAACAAGGTAAGGAAAGTTGAGTAATTGTTACTTAATTGTTAATGGTTCAATTTTTTACAGTTAGATTTAGTGAAATTTTCAAATGATTATAGTATTTGTTCGGGGTGATAAAAATGAATAATATAGGCGTGTGGGCAACAGTAAAAATATTATCCCGGGAAAAATACTGTTACTAAAGGCGTTATTTTAACTGTTACCCACAAGCTATATACTACTACTTATAATAAAAGTCTTAAAGATCCTGTATGTTTTGTAATTGATATTGTACCTGTGTGTATACCACTCTTACAAGAAATAATATATGTATATTAATTATGCAAATAAAACAAGTTTCAAACATCAAAGAATATGTATAATATGTACTGCAAATATTTGCGCACTTTATAAGTAATCAATAAATTATATGCATTCGTTTCTTATTGGAAAATTTGATTTTGAATTAATAGAAAATAAATTTCCAATTACCTCCCTTTATTTACATGAAATGGTAAATTCGGTAATATATTTATAAATAATGCTTATTGGAACTGACTATATTGACAAATCTTACTTTGAGCATCATATGTATGAAATAAAACCATAAAATGATTGTGTTACAGGAACTTTAAACCAAAAGGTTATCTTTATAAAGATGTGATGTATATGTTTATTCATTTAAGATTGCAAATTGTGCAACACTACATAATTAATAATATTATATTGTACATGATAAATTTACAAAACTTAACATAATATTTTGTGTAATCACTTCGTTATTATACATCTCAGGTTAAAGTGACTATGCGGTTAACATGGAGTTTCACTACTGCACAATGTTCCGAAACAGCAATATCATCTGGTACAGTAACGGGTGATTCAGCGTCTATTACATGCTCTGGTTGTACAACAATGTCATTAGGGACCTATCAAATCCGTTGTCAGGATTCTATGACAGGTTCATGGGGCTCTGGTGAAACCAGTTTCACTGTAAACACATCAACAAACAAACAATTTACATTCTGGTAACGACTTAAAATTTGTTTGTTTATTCTTGTGCCTTCTTTAATGTTGATTCGAAATGAAAACATTTAGGTTCCATGTTTAAATCAAAGATATGCGCATTTATACAAAAAAGGCATTTAATGCTCAACAATGAGAATTGACAATACTTTTCTTTCATTTCTGTGAATTTGCCGACTGTGGTTTGAATTATCTTAACGTTTACTATTTTTAATTACTGTATATTCAATTACTGTATTTTATGATTTAATTTATTGTATTCCATACATGCAGGTTTACCGGCGGTAATTGGATAGGTTTACTATCAGACGGAGGTGATTGGTATATAAAATCCACAGTTGACCTGACAGCACGACAGGATATAGGACGAATAAACTCGTCGCCTACAGTTAACATGCCGTCTGTACTATACTGGAAAACAGGATGTTCTTATACATATACTTTACCAGGTCTATATCTTTCGCGACATTTATAACCACTTAATAATACAACAAGCTTCCTGTTTTGTGTTTTCGAGAAAAAGCGGATTTCTTCAGCAGCCATGTAAATTATTTGTTGTAAAGATCGTTGACGGGTTATATGGCCCTATATAAACGGCTATTTGAAAATATAACCAGAACCGTTAGGCGAGGGTTATATTGAAAACAGCCGTTTATATACGGCCATATAACCTGTCAACAATCTTTATAACGAATTTTTAATACAGCAAGCATCATTTTTAGAGAAAAAAAGTAAGATTTTTTCATGAATCGACAGCAGCCGTGTATTTAAAATTATTTATTACATGCTTTTCGGTGGTTTATAGAAATATATCAGTGATATAAAAACTGGTAATTTCACTGTTTGAAACAGTGAAATTACCACTTTGATAATTTCACTGTTTTGAATTTAAGCCCCTTACGTTGTTTCACTGAAATACCAGCGTGCACAGAACTGGGTACCAACTTAATGACGTGACGTCGTAAATGACGTGTGTTGTATTATTATTTGGCGCGCTTTTCATTCAGTATTAGGTTTAATGTCTTTTTAAAACGTTTTTTGCATATAATATAAAGAAAATTTGTTTAGTTTAGTGTAAGATCAAAATATATTTCACCTTGTGAACACCAAAAGTTCATATTTCACACAAACAAACAAACAAATTTTCTTTTTATTATATGCAAGGAAACGTTTTAAAAAGACATTAAACCTAATACTAGATGAAAATCGCGCCAAATAATAATACAACGTGACGTCATTTACGACGTCACGTCATGAAGTTGGTACCCAGTACTGTGCACGCTGGTATTTCACTGAAACAACGCAAGGGGCTATTCAAAACAGTGAAATTATCAAAGTGGTAATTTCACTGTTTCAAACAGTGAAATTTCCAGTTTTATTTCACTGATATATTTCTATAAACCACCGAAATGTAATAAATTCCGATCTTACACTGAACTAAACAAATATCCTCTATATAAACGTCACGATTATCCAATGAAAAATGACGTTACAAACGTGCAGTATTATATAAAAAAAACTTTATAAACGTCATGATTATCTCATGAAAAACGACGTAACAAATGTGCAATGTCATATATTAAGAGGATATTTTTTCGTTTGAGTGAAATATGGAATATATTGTCACAAAACATGATAAAATGCCACATATTTTCACGAGCCGGGACGGCGAGTGAAAATATGTGGCATTTTATCATGTTGAGTGAAAATATATACCATATTTCACGAAAAACGAAAAAATAACCTTTTTATTTAATTTCATTATCAAAGAAAAATGGTTACGAACCCCCTTGCTTGCTACGCAACTGCAATTGTACAGCGCGCAGTAATATAATTATTGTCTTGTTTTGCACGCGATATTTAGCGCTACATTGTGACGTCACGTAAACAACTCTTTAAACGTCTGTACAGCGTTAATGACTGAATTAAAGATATTGGTGTTCGGATTTATTTTCTTAGTTAGACCATTTTCTATCATTCTAGATAGTTTTCAAAACAAAATTCAACAAAAAGTTGTTTTGTATTTATCAGATTTTTCAAACAAAATGGCGAAAGAAGTCCCTTAAAATAAATATGAGTTTTGACTCCGCCCACTTTCATATTTATATTTCATATTTATTTTTAAAAAATATGAAATATATTTGACTGATATAGCACCATATTTCATGGGTAAAATTAAATAAAGTACCATATTTCAAGGGTAATTAATTAAATAAAGTTATAGACTATATAAAATTTAATCAGGGCCATATATAGAGAATAATAGGTTGGTGCCGTGGATGGAGAAAGTTTATCTGGCGAGGCGGAGGAATTTATTGGGTTCGCCTTCGGCTCACCCAATAAATTCCTCCGCCTCGCTATTGGTGCCGTGGATGGAGAAAATTTATCCGGCGAGGCGGAGGAATTTATTGGGTGCGCCTTCGGCTCACCCAATAAATTCGGCGAACCCAATAAATTCCTCCGCCTCGCCAGATAAACTTTCTCCATCCATGGCACCAATCTATTATTCTATTTATCCTGTCACCGTTGTTTTTAAAGAATTTTATTAGACAAACTACCTTTAATCACACTATCGGAAATGTTTCTATATAAACAAAGAAGGCCCGAAGCGTGCATTATCCTACAACAGAGTTTACTGATTTTACACTGCGAGTGTTTGTAAAATTGTACAAAATCGCACCAAAATATCAATATTTTTCTAATTGTACTGGCATGCGAGCAGTTCCCGTACAGAAGCAGTACCCGTATTTTTCATTTAAACGCTTGATTTTTACTTGCATTCTTCAAAAATTCATTTCAAATCAAGCAGATACATAAACGAGACAAAATCTAAGTGTCAGTTCGGCAGTACGTATATAAAGTCTCATTTTAAATCACTTTCACCTGTGCGTCGTCAAAACGTGACCTTGTTTTCTCTGGGGGATTCCGTCCTTGCGCGCATGCGCAAAAATACTTACACGTGGGGCTTGTTAAAGGGTTTTCCACTAATACCACCTGTTTACAAATAAGTAGGCAATGTGATGTAAACTTGTTTAGTTATCAGAATGTTGACCAATAGTACTATATATAATAATTTTATGGCTTTGATGCGTAAAATAGCATGCATACAAGCATGCTATTGCATGTGAATGCGTTGGGGTAACGGTACCGGTTAATTGATACCCGCGTTTAGTCTACGCTCTATTTCCTGAATTACATCTATTTATCTCTTAGATAATGGTCTGTTCAACAATTGTAAATGAAAAATAGGTCCGATATAATAAAATTGTATAATTATAATGTGTTAGATTTTATGTACGGGAACTACTTCTCTTCATACAAAATAATGGATAATTTCGGTACCCCATATGAGGCCTCATAACTAAGGGTTATACTATGTTTAGAACATGATGGAATTTCCATGATTTGTGTGACGAGCTGAATATTGATGTGTAACATTCAAATTTTGGTGAGTGAGCGTAATAAAAAATAATGTTTAAGTAACTGTGATTTTTGTACGGGAACTGCTCGCATGCCAGTACGCATTTCGTAAAAAGAGAAACAGAATCAGAAAGACAGAATAAAACAAAAATATGTTTTCCCCTAAGAAAACATTCGTGAAGTCACGACACGATAAATATATCTAACATTTATCAATTGATAATGAAATTAGAATCTACATTGCTCATCAAAGTTCCATGATAATTGTTTAAATTTTCATATTTTTTATAGTTTTTTTTGTAACTGATCATTATAACTAACAACGTTGAATAAAATCATAATCATGATTCTGCTACTTTTATAGTTCATGACGTAGATGGTGACGTAATACGATGCAGATGGGCAAGCGGATCTACTGAATGTGCAGGTGTTTGTCAGGCTTTTCCAGGAGCTTCATTAAATGAGGTATTTTATTACAAATGCAGTTGGGGAAAATGATTGTAATAAAGGCATAGACAATTGCAAATGCACTAAGTCGTTGTTGATCCATAAATCTCTGTCAGATCTACGCGAATGTCCTATAAGAATTCAAATATGAGTTTTTTTTTGCCCGATATTATGAAGCTTGAGATATTTTGGAATCACTTTCGAGTCGAACCAATACTGATATTTTTTCATTTGTTTACCACGCATAAGCACTGCGGTATACCGTACCCCGGATATTGCTTGATATTATGAGGACTTTCATCCCAACGAGGAAAGAAGGTAAGTTCAGTGACGATATTTAGTCATTTTGAATTGGTTTGATATAAATGTTATAGAAAAACAAATACTTCGATAATTTCTCTAGGTACTAAAAAAACGAAAAATGTTGATAAATAGCTTTGAAATTGAAATTAGGAGGTGAAATTCGCCTCTTCCTATGTGATAAATGAGTTCGGATCAGTCAAATTTGATGTTTTTGTGCATATACTTCCTTAAAAGAAAAACTTGAATCGAGTGAAATGTGATTATGATGATAATGTTTATGTTGTAAATGTTCAATCAACAATAGAACCTCATTTTGAGAATAAATACACATGTCAGTGTACCGAGTATTTGCGTGGAGTTGCCCGACGGTGTCACAAGTATTGCTTTTTAGTGTAACGAGTATTGGTTATCAATATAGAGTAAATGCAAGTAGTAAACACAGAGTATTTCCTACACATAATTTTAAATATTTCTTATTGTGTGTTCTAATTTACACTATATGTGCAGAATATGCAGAGTTCGGAGGTACTTTACTGAAAACATCTGCGAATAATCCAGATTTTCATTCCTGCTCATGAAAAATCTCAGCAATTTTCTGTGTTTAAAAAGTTCTCGTTGCTATCGAAGGATCAACCTTTCCAGAATTTGTTAATAATTATTGCATATCTTACTTTAAATAGTAAAAAAATGCATCCAAAGTGCATTAATGCTGCCTCAAGATTGTCAATATTAGACGGTATTGAGCAAGTCTGCCAATATCTAATATCAACCGACTTCCTACTTAGCCAAAAATCCATAAAAAGGTAACTTTCGGTCATTTTACAAGTGCACTCTAGCAACGGCAAACCGTCTACGCGTGAAATTTGTTACGTCCTTAGCAATGAGTTACCGTATGACTGCCGAGCGGGTACAGCTAAAAAACGAATAATGGATTTTGATAAGATTATGATAAAGGTTGGCAGATGCAATAAACAAGAAGGCCATGATGGCCCTGAAATCGCTCACCTGTATATAGGCCCCCGGGGCGGGGCTAATTTTAACCCAGGGGCTTTTATTTCAACAAACTTGGTAGATCCCCATTTGGAGATGTTTCATGATAAATATCTAAGCTCTAGCTCTAAGAAAATCTTTAAGTTTTTACTAAACACATATAGTGAAAAACAATGACCCACACCCTCTGTGCGGGCCAATTTTGTCCCCAGGGCTTTTATTTGAACAAACTTGGTAAACACTCACTAGAAGACAATTCATGCTTAATATATAAACTCTATCTCTTTGGGCTTTTTAACAGAACATTTTTTTCAGTTTTTACTATATACATAAAAGGAAAATCAATGATCCCGGGGCCGGGCCAATTTTTTAACCCCAGGGCCCTTAATTTAACAAAAATTGTAGACACCCATTAGAAGATGTTTCATGCTAAATATCTTAGCTCTAGCTTTTAAGATTTTTTAAAAGAAGATTTTTTATGTTTTAACTATATACATAAAAGGAAAAACAATGACCCCCTGGGGCGGGGCCAATTTTGACCCCAGGGCTTTTATTTGAACAAACTTGTTAGACACCCACTAGAAGAGGTTTCATGCTTAATAGCCAAGCTCTAGCTCTTTGGGTTTTTTAAAAGAAGATTTTTTAAGGTTTTACTATATGCATATAGGGTAAATCAATGACCCCCTGGGGCGGGGCCAATTTTGACCCCAGGGCTTTTATTTGAACAAACTTGGTAGACACCCATTAGAGGATGTTTCATGCTAAATATCATTGCTCTAGCTCTTTGGGTTCTTTAAAAGAAGATTTTTTTATGGTTTTACTATATGCATATTGGGAAAATCAATGACCCCCTGGGGCGGGGCCAATTTTGACCCCAGGGCTTTTATTTGAACAAACTTGGTAGACACTGACTAGAAGATGTTTCATGCCAAATATCTAAGCTCTACCTCTTTGGGTTTTTTAAAAGAAGATTTTTTAAGGTTTTACTATATGCCTATAGGGTAAATCAATGACCCCCTGGGGCGGGGCCAATTTTGACCCCAGGGCTTTTATTTGAACAAACTTGGTAGACACCCATTAGAGGATGTTTCATGCTAAATATCTTAGCTCTAGCTCTTTGTGTTCTTTAAAAGAAGATTTTTTAAGGTTTTACTATATGCATATAGGGAAAATCAATGACCCCCTGGGGCGGGGCCAATTTTGATCCCAGGGCTTTTATTTGAACAAACTTGGTAGACATCCATTAGAGGATGTTTCATGCTAAATATCTTAGCTCTAGCTCTTTGGGTTCTTTAAAAGAAGATTTTTTAAGGTTTTACTATATGCATATAGGGTAAATCAATGACCCCCTGGGGCGGGGCCAATTTTGACCCCAGGGCTTTTATTTGAACAAACTTGGTATACACCCATTTGAGGATGTTTCATGCTAAATATCTTAGCTCTAGCTCTTTGGGTTCTTTAAAAGAAGATTATCTTAGCTCTAGCTCTTTGGGTTCTTTAAAAGAAGATTTTTTAAGGTTTTACTATATGCATATAGGAAAAATCAATGACCCCCTGGGGCGGGCACATTTTGACCCCAGGGCTTTTATTTGAACAAACTTGGTAGACACTGACTAGAAAATGTTTCATGCCAAATATCTAAGCTATACCTCTTTGGGTTTTTTAAAAGAAGATTTTTTAAGGTTTTACTATATGCATATAGGGTAAATCAATGACCCCCTGGGGCGGGGCCAATTTTGACCCCAGGGCTTTTATTTGAACAAACTTGGTAGACACCCATTACAGGATGTTTCATGCTAAATATCATTGCTCTAGCTCTTTGGGTTCTTTAAAAGAAGATTTTTTTAAGGTTTTACTATATGCATATTGGGAAAATCAATGACCCCCTAGGGCGGGACCAATTTTGACCCCAGAGCTTTTATTTGAACAAACTTGGTAGACACTGACTAGAAGATGTTTCATGCCAAATATCTAAGCTCTACCTCTTTGGGTTTTTTAAAAGAAGATTTTTTAAGGTTTTACTATATGCATATAGGGTAAATCAATGACCCCCTGGGGCGGGGCCAATTTTGACCCCAGGGCTTTTATTTGAACAAACTTGGTAGACACCCATTAGAGGATGTTTCATGCTAAATATCTTAGCTCTAGCTCTTTGGGTTCTTTAAAAGAAGATTTTTTAAGGTTTTACTATATGCATATAGGGAAAATCAATGACCCCCTGGGGCTGGGCCAATTTTGATCCCAGGGCTTTTATTTGAACAAACTTGGTAGACATCCACTAGAGGATGTTTCATGCTAAATATCTTAGCTCTAGCTCTTTGTGTTCTTTAAAAGAAGATTTTTTAAGGTTTTACTATATGCCTTTAGGGTAAATCAATGACCCCCTGGGGCGGGGCCAATTTTGACCCCAGGGCTTTTATTTGAACAAACTTGGTAGACACCCATTAGAGGATGTTTCATGCTAAATATCTTAGCTCTAGCTCTTTGGGTTCTTTAAAAGAAGATTTTTTAAGGTTTTACTATATGCATATAGGGAAAATCAATGACCCTCTGGGGCGGGGCCAATTTTGACCCCAGGGCTTTTATTTCAACAAACTTGGTAGACACCCAATAGAGGATGTTTCATGCTAAATATCTTAGCTCTAGCTCTTTGGGTTCTTTAAAAGAAGATTTTTTAAGGTTTTACTATATGCATATAGGGTAAATCAATGACCCCCTGGGGCGGGGCCAATTTTGACCCCAGGGCTTTTTTGAACAAACTTGGTAGACACTGACTAGAAGATGTTTCATGCCAAATATCTAAGCTCTACCTCTTTGGGTTTTTTAAAAGAAGATTTTTTTAAGGTTTTACTATATGCCTATAGGGAAAATCAATGACCCCCTGGGGCGGGGCCAATTTTGACCCCAGGGCTTTTATTTGAACAAGCTTGGTAGACACTGACTAGATGATGTTTCATGCCAAATATCTAAGCTCTAGCTCTTTGGGTTTTTTAAAAGAAGATACATGTATTTTAAGTTTTTTCTTTCGGTTGCCATGGCAACCAGAGTTCTGCATGGAATTAAATTCTTTGAACAATTTTTAAAGGTGACCACCAAAGGAACATTCCTGTGAAGTTTGGATGAAATTGGCCTAGTGGTTTATGAGGAGATTTCATTTAAAGTAAAAGTTTACGGACGACGGACGGACGGACGGACGTACGGACGCCGGACGAAAAGCGATCACAAAAGCTCACCCTGTCACTTTGTGACAGGTGAGCTAAAAAGTTATGTTCCTTATAACCTTTTACCTCATAAAGGCGTGTTTAGAAGGCTTTACACCCCACCTCCTGTGTCCCCTTCTGTTTGGGGGTTTGAAGTGGGGCATTAGCCCCTCTCATCGCCGAGAAGATTTGGGACTTATGGGGGTGGGGGCTAAAATGGTCTCAGGTCGATTTAAAGGTACCGTGTATAATCAACGCCGAAAACCTTAGACTTTATCTCAATCAATTGAAAAGTTGCTGCACCTTGAAATCAGTTTTGATGGGAAAAAAACGCAAAATAGAGATTTTTGGCAATTTTGAGACGTCCCCCAGTTGCCATGGTAACTGGAAATTTAAAATTGAGTATGCTATTCCACAGGCTATGGCCCAGCTAACATTTGTACCCAGTTTGATCAGTATTGAAGCATTTTTTATAGTTTTATAGCAGTTTGAACTTGTAACAAGAGGCTTAATTCAATGATCGCAATGCTCATGCAGTAAAAGGTTAAGACGATACCGGCATGCTTGGACGGCATAAGCACTCGGGCCAATATTTTACTAAGTGTGTCGATATGTTTCTTAAGGCAAACTTGCCCTGTAAAAACCTATTATTAATGTCATCTAAATATGTTTTGTTATCCTTTTTCTTTTCAGAGATGGGTCTCCTTGATCACAGTTTCTTGAGACATGTATTTAAAGATTTTTATCGTCAATTTCGATGGTTCTACCCTGCTCCCGAGCCTGCTTCCGACCCTGCACACACTTAATTTTATCTATAGTGTGATTTTCAATCAAATGGGAAATTAAATCTCTGTATTTGCCCGTAGGAAAAGAACAGTAATAACACTGAAAATCCATTGTTGAATCAGAAATATTTGAATAAATATCATATAATCAGCATATTATCAGCAAAGTGAAATGGAATCGATAAACAGACGTGAAAATTATACAAAAAACATCGATTTTCCATTTTAATATGCTCATTCTGTTTTGCAATACACTGTACACTAAAGTTGGGCTATTTTGCAATACTCTGTACACTTAAAATCAATACTCGGTACACTTTCTTGTATCTTTTTAGGCCTGTATCTTTTTGTACTTTCACACTTTTTGCCTGAAATTTGGACAACGCATATTTGGATTGTGAATAAAAAAATTGCTCGATTCAATTTTTTTTTTATATTGGTAATATAATAATTTCTAACGATTCTACAGTATCACAGTCAGTATTTTCTATTGAGGAGCTGATCGTTTAGAGGTAGTTTAATCAATTTTACAAATACCTGTAATATTTTGATGTCTTTTAGAGCTACAAAAATACCTCTAGATATATAAAACCCGTTGAGATAAATGAAATAGCCATTAGTTTGGAAAATATCGTCGCTGAACTTACCTTCGTTCGCCGTTCAAAGTCGCGAAATGGGATGAAAGTCCTCATAATATCGAGCAATATCCGGGGTACGGTATACCGCAGTGATAAGTCAGTGTTCATCTGTGGTGTTCTACAGAATGTTTTAGGCCTTAATTTCTGCGGAACAGTTACGAATGTATACTAAAGTTTTATTTGGCTTCATTAACATTCACTTTATTTCATATTAGTTCACGACTATTTTTATGAACGCGTATGGAAAACAGAAGTCGATTATGATAGTATCGATTTTGCACTTCGATGAAAATTAATAAACATAACTTTTAAGAAATGCAGCGTTTTGATTGGTTGACAATTAAAGCTTGAAAGTTGAGACTAAAAAATTGTTCGAATTACCCTCGAGGTATCCCTTATTGTGCGTGTAGATTAAGTTAAACCAAGCCACCCGTCTGACATCATTGCATCAGATAACATGGTAAAATATAATAAACATGATCAACAAGGAAAGCCGGCGTTCAATGAACACAGTCCCTACACGACCCAGCAACATGGACCAGCGGCAAGGAGCCCAGGATTACCTCAAACGAAAACAGGAGAGGGTGCGAGGCAGAGCACGTACAGCATTATTCCTTAAGAAATTATAGTAACCCACAAGGCAATCAAAGACAATAGATTTATTAATAGGCCTACAAAGCAAATGCGCACATGGCTGGGACTTGAAGTACGGGGAAGCGCATGATTAAAAAAAAAAAAATAGGGGCAAAAGGGAAGATACTTACCGTAAACAAGAATAACAACTATCTTTGATCACCGACGTATGAGCACTCTTTATGCGGTGCAAGGGGACGTGGACGGTAGCTTGAACTTACAACTATTGTCCACGAATGGGCTTAATCAAACGGATCTTATTAAATTTTCTTTTTGCCGCTTTTGTTGAATTGCGTGTTTTTTCTATTTCAAAGTATATTGCACCTCGGATCGATTTACAATTTATAAATTATTCATTTAATTCTTGCCTTTGTTTTCTCGTCTACGGTAAGTATCTTCCCCTTTGCTCCTAGTTTTATTTCTTTAATTTACACCCCTTCCTCCGGTCTCCTTCCCTCTTCCCTCCTTTTATTCAATCAATTATCTGTTTTCTTTGAATTCCTTATCAGTTACAAATTATTTCCTATTATTCAATCATTTATTTGTTTTCTCTAAATTCCTTATCATTTGCAAATTATTTATCATTTTAGTGATAAGCCTGTCCGTGCAATGCCTTGCGCCCTCTCCTGTTTTTGTTTGGGGTCCGCCTGGGCTCCTTGCCACTGGCTTGTTGCTGGGCCGTGTGGGGATTGCGTTCATTGAACGCCACCTTTCCTCGATGATCTTGTTTATCATATTTTGACATTATTCTTCATCTATAAAGCAATAACGTTGCATTGAGTTTACGCTGATTATCGTTTGTAAAGTTATTTTCTTTTCTATGTGAAAGAAAAAGAAAATACAGTTGTTTACATATGTTTTCAGGCGACATGTACTATATCATACACAGCAGGTACGTCCACAGGGTTTTACGCAGTAGCCATACAAGTGGAAGATTTTATGACCACAACTTCAACAACACCTCTAAGTAGCATACCTGTTCAATTCATGGTCCACATTTATTCAGGGAGTGGTTGTTCAGATGCACCGCAATTTATAGACCCAACACCTACTGCCAACACAAGGGTCGTTAGTGACATCGGCAGTCAGTACAACTTTACAATCAAAGTACAGGGACCACAATCGTAAGTATTAGAAAAATAGCATAATGTAATCTTCTTCAATATTAACCTATATTTTGTGTTTCTTTTTTAAGGTTATTACACTTGAAATAGATTAAGCGAAAGGATGTAGGTAGATAAGCACTTCATTGGTATAGCGTCATATTTAGTAAAATATGATAAACATGATCAACAAGGAAAGGCGGCGTTTAAAAATTGAATTACGAATAATCTCTTTGTTATTTTTACAAGTCGGACACGTCATTATATGTTTGTAAAGTTACCTTTATGATGTTGTTATACACCACCGAGTGATAAACAATGATGTTTTCTTTCAAAGATTTCTTAGGCTCGTAATACTATCAGAGCTAGAAATTTCGCAGAAATCAACAAAGTCCTCAACATCATCCTGGCACTACATAACTATATCTGCTACATGGACACCTTCCTCCGCTGATGCTGACACTGATCATAGAGTTTGCTTCTACGCAAGGGATAGTATAGGGTATTCATTTTATCAAACTTCATTGAATAATGCAGACTTGGCATACAATCTAATCCTGTTTTTCTGGTTCAGAAATAAAGAAATACTAGTGGCATTATTGTACGAAAAATTAAAAATGCAACCAAAAAAGTGTGTTCTTGAATAAAAGTAAAAAAGAGATTAAATGTGCCTAGGAATAATACTCTCATTTTTCATTAAGAGATTATTTACTCCTATATTGCGATGCTCGACGTGAATGAAGTGGGTTTTTTTCTGGGGAGTGTATGATAGGAAGTTCATTTACAATATAGGCATAGAACATCTATTCGATATATGTGCCACTGTTCTGACAGTCTCACACACAACAGAAACATTAAATAAATTAGTATTATTAGTCGAGTAACGAGCTTTGAATCTGAATTACTAGCCACGCTCTTTGCCACTGGACCGCGAATCCGCTCCTGAAAAATTCCTTACAATATATATACTATTTATTTCATCCATTGAAGTTCTAAAATAATATTTTCAGAAATATTATATTTTAAATTTATTTTACAGCGTCACAAGTGAAACAAGATGCATTGTTTTACATGCAGGTGAGCTTTCAATATTGTATATATTGCTACTGGGATAAAACAAGACACTTCTCTCGATCCTTTAACGGTATTTAAAGTTTTCTAATCTGAAAGCGACCTTTGTGATTTTGAGTTTTCTCTCGCAGATGTTTTACTTTTCATCTAAACAGACACATTTTTTTTATTTAATCTCTTAATAGATGTTAACGAATGCGATATTAACCAATGTTAAAGAAGTGGTTCTTCTAACGATCATGTCAACTACAATCGTCCTAAAAAAACGGGATATGAAGGCGATAATACTTGTTCATTTGCATAAAATATGCATTCTTTAATTTTGTGTCCCATCTGTTTATAGAAATTGACGAATGCGGAAGTAATCCATGTAAGAACAATGGAACTTGCACCGATTTTGTCAATTTCTACAATTGTTCTTGCCAACCAGGCTACCAAGGAATCAACTGTGAAAATGGTGACTTAAATTTTAATTTTATCTTCTATTATATTAAAAAACAGTTCTCATCTATCATTTTTGAGATTTTTTATATGTTACACACTCCACTTGCATTCATCGATATACATATAAATAAAAGAAAATCCGTCAATATTTCACATTCTTCATTAAACAGTCACATAATAATTCTGCCTAATCTATTATATTTCAAAAAATACAAACGTATGTGACCATAGTAAGTAAATGTTGCAGGCATTAAAAATTATAGGAGTTAGTATACTTATTTTTGTCATTCCGAGTATAGAGTAATTAATTGCAATACAGTAATTTATTCATACTCGAGAACAATTAATATCATTGAAGAAAAATAAAGCATTTTTATCTTCCATGTAATGTTTGCAAGACGATTTCTTCCATACTTATATTGATTGTATGTTTTTTGTGTTTTATTTCTGTCTTTTCTGTTGATAGAAACTGATGAATGCGGAAGTAGTCCATGTCAGAACGGTGGAACTTGCAGTGATTATATCAACTTCTATAATTGTTCTTGTTCACCAGGCTATGAAGGCATTAATTGTGAAGCGGGTGAGGAATGAACAAGAAAAACAACTAAATATTACTCCATTATTCAATATTTCAGAAACCTAATCGTTTGCATAATTTCGACATTACTCATGCATTTTTAGAAAGGCATCTTTATAGTTATCATCGGATATAACGGTAAACAATTTATAGGAACTGAAATTGTGTTAGTCATATTTACTGCTATAACTATTTATATCATGTTCCACTTTGACATATAGTTCTTAACAATATACACTTATTTAATAAACACACTGTGTATATGCTTAATATATGGATATTTGATTTAATTTTCTTTTCTTCCATATTTCCTTAGAAATAGACGAATGCAGAAGTAATCCATGTAAGAACAACGGAACTTGTAATGATTTTGTCAATTTCTACAATTGTTCTTGTCAACCAGGCTACCAAGGCATTAACTGCGAAAATGGTAACTTGAATTTTAATTTTAACTTCTAAATAGTTAAAAATAAGGTTTCACCTATCATTTATGATAGTTTCCAAATGTTACATACTTCACTTGCATTCATCGATATACATATTTATGAAGCAAAAACCGTCAATATTTCACATTCTTATTTAAAGAGTCATATAATAGTTTTGCTTTATCTATTACATTTTCACAAATAGAAACGATTGTGACCATAGGAGGTATTAAAGTTGTTTGTTTTGTTTTTTCTGACGGAGTACTTGTATAGAGTCATTAATTGTAATTCTGTCCGTCAGATTTTCTGTCTCGAGAAAATTCATTATCATTGAGAAAAATTAAACCGTTTTATCTTCAGTGAAATATTTTCAAAACATATCCTTTCATACTTATTTTGATTGTATCTTTGTTCTGTTACATTTCTGTTTTTTTCCTTTATAGAAACTGATGAATGCGACAGTAGTCCATGTAAGAACGGTGCAACTTGCAATGATTATGTCAACTTCTATAATTGCTCTTGTCCACCCGGTTATAAAGGAATCCATTGTGAAGAAGGTAATGAATAAATTAAGAAAACCTTAGTCTATTTTTCAGTATTCTTCCAACTTTATCTGTAGTTATTTTTGTCATACAAATGTAGTTTTAAAATAATATTTAGACAGTTATCAACGAATATGACGCTTAACAATAAAGAACTGAAATTTTGTAAGTTATATAAACTGCTATAACTATTTATATCATGCCCACTTTGACATCTAGTTATTTATAATAAACATTTATTGAATAACTATATATGTTTTTATATGCACATTTGATTGATTTTTATCCCATATTTTCTTAGAAATTACACACTTAACTGCACTGTATAGATGCATAAATTAGTAATCTATGCATATTAAATTTAGTTTTCTTTTCTTCCATCTTTCCTTAGAAATTGACGAATGCGGTAGTAATCCATGTAAGAACAACGGAAATTGTAATGATTTTGTCAATTTCTACAATTGTTCTTGTCAACCAGGCTACCAAGGAATCAACTGTGAAAATGGTAACATGAATTCTAATTTTACCTTCTATTATAGTAAAAACAGTTTTCATCTACCATCTTTGAGATTTTTTTTATATGTTACACACTCCACTTGCATCCATCGATATACATATTAATAAATAAAAGAAAATCCGTCAATATTTCACATTCTTCATTAAACAGTCACATAATAATTCTGCCTTATCTATTATATTTCAAAAAATACAAACGTATGTGACCATAGTAAGTAAATGTTGCAGGCATTAAAAAAATATAGGAGTTAGTATACTATTTTTTGTCATTCCGAGTATATAGTAATTAATTGCAATACAGTAAGTTATTCATATTCGAGAACAATTAATATCATTGAAGAAAAATAAAGCATTTTTATCTTCCATGTAATGTTTGCAAGACGATTTCTTCCATACTTATATTGATTGTATGTTTGTTTTGTTTTATTTCTGTCTTTTCTGTTGATAGAAACTGATGAATGCGGAAGTAGTCCATGTCAGAACGGTGGAACTTGCAGTGATTATATCAACTTCTATAATTGTTCTTGTTCACCAGGCTATGAAGGCATTAATTGTGAAGCGGGTGAGGAATGAACAAGAAAAACAACTAAATATTACTCCATTATTCAATATTTCAGAAACCTAATCGTTTGCATAATTTCGACATTACTCATGCATTTTTAGAAAGGCATCTTTATAGTTATCATCGGATATAACGGTAAACAATTTATAGGAACTGAAATTGTGTTAGTCATATTTACTGCTATAACTATTTATATCATGTTCCACTTTGACATTGATAGTTCTTAACAATATACATTTATTTAATAAACACACTGTGTATATGTTTAATATATGCATATTTGATTCAATTTTCTTTTCTTCCATATTTCCTTAGAAATAGACGAATGCAGAAGTAATCCATGTAAGAACAACGGAACTTGTAATGATTTTGTCAATTTCTACAATTGTTCTTGTCAACCAGGCTACCAAGGAATTAACTGCGAAAATGGTAACTTGAATTTTAATTTTACCTTCTAAATAGTTAAAAATAAAGTTTCACCTATCATTTATGATAGTTTTCAAATGTTACATACTTCACTTGCATTCATCGATATACATATTTATGAAGCAAAAACCGTCAATATTTCACATTCTTATTTAAAGAGTCATATAATAGTTTTGCTTTATCTATTATATTTTCACAAATACAAACGAATGTGACCATAGGAGGTATTAAAGTTGTTTGTTTTTTCTGATGGAGTACTCGTATAGAGTCATTAATTGTAATTCTGTCAGTCAGATATTCTGTCTCGAGAAAATTCATTATCATTGAGAAAAATTAAACCGTTTTATCTTCAGTGAAATATTTTCAAAACATATCCTTTCATACTTATTTTGATTGTATCTTTGTTCTGTTACATTTCTGTTTTTTTTCCTTTATAGAAACTGATGAATGCGACAGTAGTCCATGTAAGAACGGTGCAACTTGCAATGATTATGTCAACTTCTATAATTGCTCTTGTCCACCCGGTTATGAAGGAATCCATTGTGAAGAAGGTAAGGAATAAATTAAGAAAACCTTAGTCTATTTTTATATTTTTATATGCATATTTGTTTGATTTTTGTCCCATATTTTCTTAGAAATTACACACTTAACTGCACTGTATAAATGCATAAATTAGTAATCTATGCATATTTAATTTAGTTTTCTTTTCTTCCATCTTTCCTTAGAAATTGACGAATGCAGTAGTAATCCATGTAAGAACAACGGAAATTGTACCGATTTTGTCAATTTCTACAATTGTTCTTGTCAACCAGGCTACCAAGGAATCAACTGTGAAAATGGTAACATGAATTCTAATTTTACCTTCTATTATAGTAAAAACAGTTTTCATCTACCATCTTTGAGATTTTTTTTATATGTTACACACTCCACTTGCATCCATCGATATACATATTAATAAATAAAAGAAAATCTGTCAATATTTCACATTCTTCATTAAACAGTCACATGATAATTCTGCCTTATCTATTATATTTCAAAAAATACAAACGTATGTGACCATAGTAAGTAAATGTTGCAGGCATTAAAAAAATATAGGAGTTAGTATACTATTTTTTGTCATTCCGAGTATATAGTAATTAATTGCAATACGAAAATAATAATAAAATATTTTTGACTGTTCAGCATTTCATAAAAGTAAGCAAACGCTTTTGATTTTGAAAACAAACCAGCACAATCCCAATAAATATTAATGTATTTTTCTTTCATTTCTGCAAAACAATAGACAAGATTCTTTCCTTTCTTCTTCTATTTTTTTTTCTTCTATATTTCATTTTCTCAAAATCTATTTTTGTTTTTGTTATATTCGGCAAATGTACATGTTTTCTAAGTCATTGTAACGCAAATATATAAAAATCAGTTAACATCGTTAAATACCATTCAAGCTAGAGAACATGTACACCCAATCATTTTTATCGTTCTTTCTTACCTAAAATCATTTTTAAAGCCAAGTACTATATATGTGTGAGTTTTGTTACTTCTATCTAACTGATAGTCATTCTTGTAAAATAAGTTATTGTAATTTATTGTATCAGGGAAGACCCGTTGCTAATGTTGAGAGAACTTGTGGGTCAACCCTTTTGCCAAATATGTCATGTCATTGTATTGTAACTGTCTACATGTATGTATATGTCTTATTTTTGGCAATAAAATATGTTTAAATCAATTGCAATACAGTAAGTTATTCATATTCGAGAACAATTAATATCATTGAAGAAAAATAAAGCATTTTTATCTCCCATGTAATGTTTGCAAGACGATTTCTTCCATACTTATATTGATTGTATGTTTGTTTTGTTTTATTTCTGTCTTTTCTGTTGATAGAAACTGATGAATGCGGAAGTAGTCCATGTCAGAACGGTGGAACTTGCAGTGATTATATCAACTTCTATAATTGTTCTTGTTCACCAGGCTATGAAGGCATTAATTGTGAAGCGGGTGAGGAATGAACAAGAAAAACAACTAAATATTACTCCATTATTCAATATTTCAGAAATCTAATCGTTTGCATAATTTCGACATTACTCATGCATTTTTAGAAAGGCATCTTTATAGTTATCATCGGATATAACGGTAAACAATTTATAGGAACTGAAATTGTGTTAGTCATATTTACTGCTATAACTATTTATATCATGTTCCACTTTGACATATAGTTCTTAACAATATACATTTATTTAATAAACACACTGTGTATATGCTTAATATATGCATATTTGATTTAATTTTCTTTTCTTCCATATTTCCTTAGAAATAGACGAATGCAGAAGTAATCCATGTAAGAACAACGGAACTTGTACCGATTATGTCAATTTCTACAATTGTTCTTGTCAACCAGGCTACCAAGGAATTGACTGTGAAAATGGTAACTTGAATTTTAATTTTATCTTCTATATAGTTAAAAAATAAGTTTCTACCTATCATTTATGATAGTTTTCAAACCTTACATATTTCACTTGCATTCATCGATATACATATTTATAAAACAAAATCCGTCAATATTTCACATTCTTTTTTTAACAGTCATATAATAGTTCTGCCTACTCTATTATATTTTCATAAATACAAACGAATGTGACCATAGGAGGTATTTAAGTTGTTTTTTTCAGACAGAGTACTCGTATAGAGTCATTAATTTTAATACTGTCAGGCAGATATTCCGTCTCGAGAAAATTCATTATCATTGAGAAAAAAATGAACCGTTTTTTCTTTAGTGTAATGTTTTCAAAACATATCCTTTCATACTTATTTTGATTGTATGTTTGTTTTGTTACATTTCTGTTTTTTTCCTTTATAGAAACTGATGAATGCGACAGTAGTCCATGTAAGAACGGTGCAACTTGCAATGATTATGTCAACTTCTATAATTGCTCTTGTCCACCCGGTTATGAAGGAATCCATTGTGAAGAAGGTAAGGAATAAATTAAGAAAACCTTAGTCTATTTTTCAGTATTCTTCCAACTTTATCTGTAGTTATTTTTGTCATACAAATGTAGTTTTGAAATAATATTTAGACAGTTATCAACGAATATGACGCTTAACAATAAAGAACTGAAATTGTGTAAGTTATATAAACTGCTATAACTATTTATATCATGCCCACTTTGACATCTAGTTATTTATAATAAACATTTATTGAATAACTATATATGTTTTTATATGCATATTTGATTGATTTTTGTCCCATATTTTCTTAGAAATTACACACTTAACTGCACTGTATAAATGCATAAATTAGTAATCTATGCATATTTAATTTAGTTTTCTTTTCTTCCATCTTTCCTTAGAAATTGACGAATGCAGTAGTAATCCATGTAAGAACAACGGAAATTGTACCGATTTTGTCAATTTCTACAATTGTTCTTGTCAACCAGGCTACCAAGGAATCAACTGTGAAAATGGTAACATGAATTCTAATTTTACCTTCTATTATAGTAAAAACAGTTTTCATCTACCATCTTTGAGATTTTTTTTATATGTTACACACTCCACTTGCATCCATCGATATACATATTAATAAATAAAAGAAAATCCGTCAATATTTCACATTCTTCATTAAACAGTCACATAATAATTCTGCCTTATCTATTATATTTCAAAAAATACAAACGTATGTGACCATAGTAAGTAAATGTTGCAGGCATTAAAAAAATATAGGAGTTAGTATACTATTTTTTGTCATTCCGAGTATATAGTAATTAATTGCAATACGAAAATAATAATAAAATATTTTTGACTGTTCAGCATTTCATAAAAGTAAGCAAACGCTTTTGATTTTGAAAACAAACCAGCACAATCCCAATAAATATTAATGTATTTTTCTTTCATTTCTGCAAAACAATAGACAAGATTCTTTCCTTTCTTCTTCAATTTTTTTTCTTCTATATTTCATTTTCTCAAAAAATCTATTTTTGTTTTTGTTATATTCGGCAAATGTACATGTTTTCTAAGTCATTGTAACGCAAATATATAAAAATCAGTTAACATCGTTAAATACCATTCAAGCTAGAGAACATGTACACCCAATCATTTTTATTGTTCTTTCTTACCTAAAATCATTTTTAAAGCCAAGTACTATATATGTGTGAGTTTTGTTACTTCTATCTAACTGATAGTCATTCTTGTAAAATAAGTTATTGTAATTTATTGCATCAGGGAAGACCCGTTGCTAATGTTGAGAGAACTTGTGGGTCAACCCTTTTGCCAAATATGTCATGTCATTGTATTGTAACTGTCTACATGTATGTATATGTCTTATTTTTGGCAACAAAATATGTTTAAATCAATTGCAATACAGTAAGTTATTCATATTCGAGAACAATTAATATCATTGAAGAAAAATAAAGCATTTTTATCTCCCATGTAATGTTTGCAAGACGATTTCTTCCATACTTATATTGATTGTATGTTTGTTTTGTTTTATTTCTGTCTTTTCTGTTGATAGAAACTGATGAATGCGGAAGTAGTCCATGTCAGAACGGTGGAACTTGCAGTGATTATATCAACTTCTATAATTGTTCTTGTTCACCAGGCTATGAAGGCATTAATTGTGAAGCGGGTGAGGAATGAACAAGAAAAACAACTAAATATTACTCAATTATTCAATATTTCAGAAATCTAATCGTTTGCATAATTTCGACATTACTCATGCATTTTTAGAAAGGCATCTTTAAAGTTATCATCGGATATAACGGTAAACAATTTATAGGAACTGAAATTGTGTTAGTCATATTTACTGCTATAACTTTTTATATCATGTTCCACTTTGACATATAGTTCTTAACAATATACATTTATTTAATAAACACACTGTGTATATGCTTAATATATGCATATTTGATTTAATTTTCTTTTCTTCCATATTTCCTTAGAAATAGACGAATGCAGAAGTAATCCATGTAAGAACAACGGAACTTGTAATGATTTTGTCAATTTCTACAATTGTTCTTGTCAACCAGGCTACCAAGGCATTAACTGCGAAAATGGTAACTTGAATTTTAATTTTAACTTCTAAATAGTTAAAAGTAAGGTTTCACCTATCATTTATGATAGTTTTCAAATGTTACATACTTCACTTGCATTCATCGATATACATATTTATGAAGCAAAAACCGTCAATATTTCACATTCTTATTTAAAGAGTCATATAATAGTTTTGCTTTATCTATTACATTTTCACAAATAGAAACGAATGTGACCATAGGAGGTATTAAAGTTGTTTGTTTTGTTTTTTCTGAAGGAGTACTTGTATAGAGTCATTAATTGTAATTCTGTCAGTCAGATTTTCTGTCTCGAGAAAATTCATTATCATTGAGAAAAATTAAACCGTTTTATCTTCAGTGAAATATTTTCAAAACATATCCTTTCATACTTATTTTGATTGTATCTTTGTTCTGTTACATTTCTGTTTTTTTTCCTTTATAGAAACTGATGAATGCGACAGTAGTCCATGTAAGAACGGTGCAACTTGCAATGATTATGTCAACTTCTATAATTGCTCTTGTCCACCCGGTTATGAAGGAATCAATTGTGAAGAAGGTAAGGAATAAATTAAGAAAACCTTAGTCTATTTTTCAGTATTCTTCCAACTTTATCTGTAGTTATTTTTGTCATACAAATGTAGTTTTAAAATAATATTTAGACAGTTATCAACGAATATGACGCTTAACAATAAAGAACTGAAATTGTGTAAGTTATATAAACTGCTTTTACTATTTATATCATGTCCCACTTTGACATCTAGTTATTTATAATAAACATTTATTGAATAACTATATATGTTTTTATATGCATATTTGATTGATTTTTGTCCCATATTTTCTTAGAAATTACACACTTAACTGCACTGTATATATGCATAAATTAGTAATCTATGCATATTTAATTTAGTTTTCTTTTCTTCCATCTTTCCTTAGAAATTGACGAATGCAGAAGTAATCCATGTAAGAACAACGGAAATTGTACCGATTTTGTCAATTTCTACAATTGTTCTTGTCAACCAGGCTACCAAGGAATCAACTGTGAAAATGGTAACATGAATTCTAATTTTACCTTCTATTATAGTAAAAACAGTTTTCATCTACCATCTTTGAGATTTTTTATATGTTACACACTCCACTTGCATTCATCGATATACATATTAATAAAACAAAATCCGTCAATATTTCACATTCTTCATTAAACAGTCACATAATAATTCTGCCTAATCTATTATATTTCAAAAAATACAAACGTATGTGACCATAGTAAGTAAATGTTGCAGGCATTAAAAAATTATAGGAGTTAGTATACTATTTTTTGTCATTCCGAGTATATAGTAATTAATTGCAATACAGTAAGTTATTCATATTCGAGAACAATTAATATTATTGAAGAAAAATAAAGCATTTTTATCTTCCATGTAATGTTTGCAAGACGAATTCTTCCATACTTATATTGATTGTATGTTTGTTTTATTTCTGTCTTTTCTGTTGATAGAAACTGATGAATGCAGAAGTAGTCCATGTCAGAACGGTGGAACTTGCAGTGATTATATCACCTTCTATAATTGTTCTTGTTCACCAGGCTATGAAGGCATTAATTGTGAAGCGGGTGAGGAATGAACAAGAAAAACAACTAAATATTACTCCATTCTTCAATATTTTAGAAACCTAATCGTTTGCATAATTTCGACAATACTCGTGCACTTATAAAATAACATCTTAAAAGTTATCATCGGATATAACGGTAAAACAATTATAGGAAGTCATATTAACTGCTATAACTATTTATATCATGTTCCACTTTGACATATAGTTCTTAACAATATACATTCATTTAATAAACACACTGTATATATGTTTAATATATGCATATTTGATTTAATTTTCTTTTCCTTCATATTTCCTTAGAAATTGACGAATGCAGAAGTAATCCATGTAAGAACAACGGAACTTGTACCGATTTTGTCAATTTCTACAATTGTTCTTGTCAACCAGGCTACCAAGGAATTAACTGCGAAAATGGTAACTTGAATTTTAATTTTACCTTCTAAATAGTTAAATATTATATATTTATAAATATAAATAGTTAATATATAATACCTATCATTTATGATCGTTTTCAAATGTTACATACTTCACTTGCATTCATCGATATACATAATTATAAAACAAAATCCGTCAATATTTCACATTCTTACTTAAAGAGCCATATAATAGTTCTGCTTTATCTATTATTTTTTCACAAATACAAACAAATGTGACCTTAGGAGTTATTTTATTTATTTTTGTCAGAAAGAGTACTTGTATAGAGTCATTAATTGTAATACTGTCAGAAAATTAATTAGACTCGTGCAAATTCAATACCATTGAGAAAAGTAAACCATTTTATCGTCAGTGTAATGTTTTCAAAACATATCCTTTCATTATTATTTTGATTGTATCTTTGTTCTGTTACATGTCTGTTTTTTTTTTCCTTTATAGAAACTGATGAATGCGACAGTAGTCCATGTAAGAACGGTGCAACTTGCAATGATTATGTCAACTTCTATAATTGCTCTTGTCCACCCGGTTATGAAGGAATCAATTGTGAAAAAGGTAAGGAATAAATTAAGAAAACCTAAGTCTATTTTTCAGTATTCTTCCAACTTTATCTGTAGATATTTTTGTCATACAAATGTAGTTTTAAAATAATATTTAGACAGTTATCAACGAATATGACGCTTAACAATAAAGAACTGAAATTGTGTAAGTTATATAAACTGCTATAACTATTTATATCATGTCCCACTTTTACATCAAGTTATTTATAACAAACATTTATTGAATAACTATATATGTTTTTATATGCATGTTTGATTGATTTTTGTCCCATATTTTCTTAGAAATTACACACTTAACTGCACTGTATAAATGCATAAATTAGTTATCTTTGCATATTTAATTTAGTTTTCTTTTCTTCCATCTTTCCTTAGAAATTGACGAATGCAGAAGTAATCCATGTAAGAACAATGGAACTTGTACCGATTATGTCAATTTCTACAATTGTTCTTGTCAACCAGGCTACCAAGGAATCAACTGTGAAAATGGTAACATGAATTCTAATTTAACCTTCTATTATTATAGTAAAAACATTTTTCATCTACCATCTTTGAGATTTTTTTATATGTTACACACTCCACTTGCATTCATCGATATACATATTAATAAAACAAAATCCGTCAATATTTCACATTCTTCATTAAACAGTCACATAATAATTCTGCCTAATCTATTATATTTCAAAAAATGCAAACGTATGTGACCATAGTAAGTAAATGTTGCAGGCATTAAAAAAATTATAGGAGTTAGTATACTATTTTTTGTCATTCCGAGTATAGAGTAATTAATTGCAATACAGTATGTTATTCATATTCGAGAACAATTTTAATATAATTGAAGAAAATAAAGCATTTTTATTTTCCATGTAATGTTTGCAAGGCGAATTTTTTCATACTTTATTGATGGTATGTCTGATTTCTTTTATTTATGTCTTTTCTGTTGATAGAAACTGATGAATGCGAAAGTATTCCATGTCAGAACGGTGGAACTTGCACTGATTATATCAACTTCTATAATTGTTCTTGTTCACCAGGCTATGAAGGCATTAATTGTGAAGCGGGTGAGGAATGAACAAAAAATCAACTTAATATTACTTCATAATTCAATATTTCAGAAAACTAATCGTTTGCATAATTTCGATATTACTCATGCATTTTTGAAATAGCATCTTTAAAGTTATCATCGGATATAACGGTAAACAATTAATAGGAACTGAAATTGTGTTAGTCATATTTACTGCTATAACTATTTATATCATGTTCCACTTTGACATATAGTTCATAACAATATACATTTATTTAATAAATTAACACACTGTGTATATGCTTAATATATGCATATTTGATTTAATTTTCTTTTCTTCCATATTTCCTTAGAAATAGACGAATGCAGAAGTAATCCATGTAAGAACAACGGAACTTGTAATGATTTTGTCAATTTCTACAATTGTTCTTGTCAACCAGGCTACCAAGGCATTAACTGCGAAAATGGTAACTTGAATTTTAATTTTACCTTCTAAATAGTTAAAAATAAGGTTTCGATAGTTTTCAAATGTTACATACTTCACTTGCATTCATCGATATACATATTTATGAAGCAAAAACCGTCAATATTTCACATTCAAATTTAAAGAGTCATATAATAGTTATGCTTTATCATTATATTTTCACAAATACAAACGAATGTGACCATAGGAGGTATTAAAGTTGTATGTTTTTTTTCTGACGGAGTACTCGTATAGAGTCATTAATTGTTATTCTGTCAGTCAGATTTTCTGTCTCGAGAAAATTCATTATCATTGAGAAAAATTAAACCGTTTTTTCTTCAGTGAAATATTTTCAAAACATATCCTTTCATACTTATTTTGATTGTATCTTTGTTCTGTTACATTTCTGTTTTTTTTTCCTTTATAGAAACTGATGAATGCGACAGTAGTCCATGTAAGAACGGTGCAACTTGCAATGATTATGTCAACTTCTATAATTGCTCTTGTCCACCCGGTTATGAAGGAATCAATTGTGAAGAAGGTAAAAAATAAATTAAGAAAACCTTAGTCTATCTTTCAGTCAGTATTCTTCCAACTTTATCTGTAGATGTTTTTGTCATACAAATGTAGTTCATTATTCAATATTTTAGAAACCTAATCGTTTGCATAATTTCGACATTACTCATGCATTTTTGAAATAGCATCTTTATAGTTATCGTCGGATATAACGGTCAACAATTTATAGGAACTGAAATTGTGTTAGTCATATTTACTGCTATAACTATTTATGTTATGTTCCACTTTGACATATAGTTCTTTACAATATACATTTATTTAATAAACACACTGTGCATATTTATAATATATGCATATTTGATTTAATTTTCTTTCTTAGAAATTGACGAATGCAGAAGTAATCCATGTAAGAACAACGGAAATTGTACCGATTTTGTCAATTTCTACAATTGTTCTTGTCAACCAGGCTACCAAGGAATTAACTGCGAAAATGGTAACTTGAGTTTTAATTTTACCTCCTTTATAGCTAAAATTATGTTTTAATATATAATTATGATAGTTTTCAAATGTTACATACTTCATTTGCATTCATCGATATATATATAATTATAAAACAAAATCCGTCAATATTTCACATTCTTCTTTAAACAGCCATATAATAGTTCTGCTTTATCATTATATTTTCACAAATACAAACAACTGTGACCTTAGGAGCTATTTTAGTTATTTTTGTCAGACAGAGTATACGTATAGAGTCATTAATTGTAATACTGTCAGAAAATTATTCAGACTCGTGCAAATTCAATATCATTGAGAAAAATTAAACCGTTTTATCTTTAGTGTAATGTTTTCAAAACATATCCTTTCATTATTATTTTGATTGTATCTTTGTTCTGTTACATGTCTGTTTTTTTTTCCTTTATAGAAACTGATGAATGCGACAGTAGTCCATGTAAGAACGGTGCAACTTGCAATGATTATGTCAACTTCTATAATTGCTCTTGTCCACCCGGTTATGAAGGAATCCATTGTGAAGAAGGTAAGGAATAAATTAAGAAAACCTTAGTCTATTTTTCAGTATTCTTCCAACTTGATCTGTAGTTATTTTTGTCATACAAATGTAGTTTTAAAATAATATTTAGACAGTTATCAACGAATATGACGCTTTACAATAAAGAACTGAAATTGTTTAAGTTATATAAACTGCTATAACTATTTATATCATGTCCCACTTAGACATCAAGTTATTTAGTATAAACATTTATTGAATATCTATATAAGTTTTTATATGCATGTTTGATAGACTTTTGTCCCATATTTTCTTAGAAATTACAACACTTAACTGCACTGTATATATGCATAAATTAGTAATCTATGCATATTTGATTTATTTTATTTTCTTCCATCTTTCCTTAGAAATTGACGAATGCAGAAGTAATCCATGTAAGAACAACGGAAATTGTACCGATTTTGTCAATTTCTACAATTGTTCTTGTCAACCAGGCTACCAAGGAATTAACTGTGAAAATGGTAACTTGAATTCTATTTTTACCTTCTATAATAGTAAAAACAGTTTTCATCTACCATCTTTGAGATTTTTTTATATGTTACACACTCCAGTTGCATTCATCGATATACATATTAATAAAAACAAAATCCGTCAATATTTCACATTCTTCATTAAACAGCCACATAGTTATTCTGCCTAATCTATTATATTTCAAATCATACAACTGTATTTGACCATAGTAAGTAAAAGTTGCAGGCATTGAAAAATTATTGGAGTTAGTATACTATTTTTGTCATTCCGAGTATAGAGTAATTAATTGCAATACAGTAAGTTATTCATATTCGAGAACAATTAATATCACTGAAGATAAATAAAGCATTTTTATCTTCCATATAATGTTTGCAAGACGATTTCTTCCATACTTATATTGATTGTATGTTTGATTTCTTTTATTTATGTCTTTTCTGTTGATAGAAACTGATGAATGCGAAAGTAGTCCATGTCAGAACGGTGGAACTTGCACTGATTATATCAACTTCTATAATTGTTCTTGTTCACCAGGCTATGAAGGCATTAATTGTGAAGCGGGTGAGGAATGAACAAAAAATCAACTAAATATTACTTCATTATTCAATATTTCAGAAACCTAATCGTTTGCATAATTTCGACATTACTCATGCATTTTTGTAATAACATCTTTATAGTTATCATCGGATATAACGGTCAACAATTTATAGGAACTGAAATTGTGTTAGTCATATTTACTGCTATAACTATTTATGTTATGTTCCACTTTGACATATAGTTCTTTACAATATACATTTATTTAATAAACACACTGTGTATATTTATAATATATGCATATTTGATTTAATTTTCTTTCTTAGAAATTGACGAATGCAGAAGTAATCCATGTAAGAACAACGGAAATTGTACCAATTTTGTCAATTTCTACAATTGTTCTTGTCAACCAGGCTACCAAGGAATTAACTGCGAAAATGGTAACTTGAATTTTAATTTTACCTCCTTTATAGCTAAAATTATGTTTTAATCTATAATTATGATAGTTTTCAAATGTTACATACTTCATTTGCATTCATCGATATATATATAATTATAAAACAAAATCCGTCAATATTTCACATTCTTCTTTAAACAGCCATATAATAGTTCTGCTTTATCATTATATTTTCACAAATACAAACAAATGTGACCTTAGGAGTTATTTTATTTATATTTGTCAGACAGAGTACACGTATAGAGTCATTAATTGTAATAATGTCAGAAAATTATTCAGACTCGTGCAAATTCAATTTCATTGAGAAAAAAATAAACCGTTTTATCTTCAGTGTAATGTTTTCAAAACATATCCTTTCATATTTATTTTCATTGTATGTTTGTTCTGTTACCTTTCTGTTTTTTTTTCTTTATAGAAACTGACGAATGCGACAGTAGTCCATGTAAGAACGGTGCAACTTGCAATGATTATGTCAACTTCTATAATTGCTCTTGTCCACCCGGTTATGAAGGAATCAATTGTAAAGAAGGTAAGGAATAAATTAAGAAAACCTTAGTCCATTTTTCAGTATTCTTCCAACTTTATCTGTTGTTTTTTTGGTTTATACAGAATTTATTTTAGTTCGATTGTGTAGGAAGCTATAAGCTTATAGACACACTTTCGAATCCGTTCCTGGAACCAACCAGTACTGAGCAATGAGTGTAAAGTTTCTTGCTCAAGGAAACAACGACTTGCCCCTGACGGGGTTTGAACCCATGCGGCTAGCAATCATGAGATTACTAGGCCGACGCGTTAACCACTCGGCCATGCCGCCACACATAATTGTTGTTATTTTTGTCATACAACTGTAGTTTTAAGATAATATTTAGACAGTTATCAACGAATATGACGCTTAACAATGAAGAACTGAAATTGTGTAAGTTATATAAACTGCTATAACTATTGATATCATGTCCCACTTTGACATCGAGTTATTTATAATAAACATTTATTGAACAACTATAGATGTTTTTATATGCATGTTTGATTGATTTTTGTCCCCTATTTTCTTAGAAATCACACAATTAACGGCACTGTATAAATGCATAAATTAGTTATCTATGCATATTTATTTAGTTTTCTTTTCTTCCATCTTTCCTTAGAAATAGACGAATGCAGAAGTAATCCGTGTAAGAACAACGGAAATTGTACCGATTTTGTCAATTTCTACAATTGTTCTTGTCAACCAGGCTACCAAGGAATCAACTGTGAAAATGGTAACTTGAATTCTAATTTTACCTTCTATTATAGTAATAACAGTTTTCATCTACCATCTTTGAGATTTTTTATATGTTACACACTCCACTTGCATTCATCGATATACATATTAATAAAACAAATCCGTCAATATTTCACATTGTTCATTAAACAGTCACATAATATTTCTGCCTAATCTATTATATTTCAAAAAATACAAACGTATGTGACCATAGTAAGTAAATGTTGCAGGCATTAAAAAATTATAGGAGTTAGTATACTATTTTTTGTCATTCCGAGTATAGAGTAATTAATTGCAATACAGTAAGTTATTCATATTCGACAACAATTAATATTATTGAAGAAAAATAAAGCATTTTTATCTTCCATGTATTGTTTGCAAGACGAATTCTTCCATACTTATATTGATTCTATGTGTGATTTCTTTTATTCATGTCTTTACTGTTGATAGAAACTGATGAATGCGACAGTAGTCCATGTAAGAACGGTGCAACTTGCAATGATTATGTCAACTTCTATAATTGCTCTTGCCCACCCGGTTATGAAGGAATCAATTGTGAAGAAGGTAAGGAATAAATTAAGAAAACCTAAGTACATTTCTCAGTATTCTTCCAACTTTATCTTTAGATATTTTTGTCATACAAATGTAGTTTTAAAATAATATTTAGACAGTTATCAACGAATATGACGCTTTACAATAAAGAACTGAAATTGTGTAAGTTATATAAACTGCTATAACTATTTATATCATGTTCCACTTTGACATCAAGTTATTTATAATAAACATTTACACATTTATTGAATAACTATATATGTTTTTATATGCATGTTTGATTGATTTTTATTCCATATTTTCTTAGGAAATACACTCTAAACTGCACTCTATATATGAAAAAAATTGGTAATCTATGCATATTAATTAATTAATTAATTAACTCCCCTTAACTAATCTTCAATTTAATTAATTTTTTGTCATATCTGTACATAGGTATTGGCATTTGCGAAAGTTTTGTATGTAAAAATGATGGAACTTGTCATGATTATATCACATTCTACACCTGTTCTTGTCAACAGGGCTATGAAGGAATAAACTGTGAACATGGTAATTTAAATTTTTCTTTCTATGAGGAATCAGAGTTTTTTCTTCAACTATTTATCAGTTTCTGATAGATTTCAAGTGAAGAATGCAGTACTATGTTTGTATTCCCAGGGAATTTAATACACAAACTGAAGACCTCAATGCGTTTACTGAAAATGATTCATATTTGTCAATGTTTTTAAATTTAGATGTATCAAAAGTCACAGATGGAACAGTTAAGAATACGTGTTTTAAAAGAGTATCACAAAATAATTATCTTCAACAAAAAACCAAAATGGTTATAACAAACATCTCTTCAAAATCAAGAAATTGTGTCCCTTTTTGAGTTAAGTAAAGTATAAATCAAATCAACCATTACAAAAATGAATGAAGGTATTACGACCCTAATGGGCACTATAAGGAACTAAAAAATTGACGTCATAGGTCAGATATATACCTAAAAGTACACCTGTATGCAAAATTTAAACAAAGTTTACCGTACGGAAATCAAGTTATGGTCACTTTTCTGAACTCAAGCTAGGATGTTATGAGGGCCCTTTTTTAGAAATGAGGAACTTTTAAATAATCTGCAATAACATTCTAATGAAAAATGTTTTCCCATTAATTTTTGGTAAGAAACAAATAGTACCAAATAGTACCATTCAGCTAACAATCCACATAAGCAAAATTATGGTTTCTATTAATACTAATTTATAAAAAATTGTATAAAAATGTTACCCTACCCCACCCATTTTTACCACGTGTCTGACCATTTTCCTACTTACGGAGCCTAATTTAAAAAATCCTTAAAATTTAGCCAAATGAGTGCCTGTTTACAAAGTTTCCCTAAATTTTTGAAGAAGTATATTAGTTCATCTTGTAAAATATAAAATACTTTTACCATCTAGTTTTGACTTTATAACACTTTGAAAATATCAGGTACCATATTTATTACAAGATTTAGCATAATTTACCCAATAAATACCTATATAAATTAAAAAATCAAAATTAAACACTTTTTTCTTTCCAAATGGGACATGAGAGATACATAAATAATGTTAAAAGAGAAAAAGAAAGAAAAAAAAGTTGACCCTTCTGGGGATTGAACCCATGGCCCTCATTTTCAATGTAGTTAACAGTAGTTCTAGCCTATTTGAATATTCGTAAATGCGGAGGTAATGCATTAGGATGGTAATACCTGAAATCGCAAACGCTCAAGTAGTTCTCTCTTAAATGCAGATAAAGGTTTTCCACAGAGTTATAATTATCAGTACAACAGAATAAAAGGAAACAAAACCTATGTTCGGGTGCGAATGCAAGTCTATGCAAAATATGCAAAACAAAGCAGGAAACAAGAGCGCAATATACGCCCGAAGGCAATTTTGTTTTAAGTTATCAAATTTTTCAAGTATCAAAAATACTATTTAGAATGAGAAATGACATATTCATTACAATTTTCCAAAACACGTTTTATTTCAATTATCAATATAATAGAATCTATAGTGAGATCTATATTGATACATGCCAACTAACTATGCTCTTGTTATAAGAAAATTAAGAGATACGTTAAGTTATATAACGGTTAGGAGAGTTTTACGTTTTACATATATACTGTACTGAAAACAACAAAATTGTTGGTTTTTCATGAAAAGAATTTGAAGAATATAAAAAATAAGCTCAACAAGGAAGGAAGTTCATGGTGTGTACAAAAGTGATAATTATACTTTATAAAGTCAACAAAGTATTGCCACATGCAATACCTATGCTAAACGAATCCGGTTTAGTTTTGATAATCCCTCGTATAATGAACACATTATTTCACATATTATGGCAATTTGACAGAACTTTGTCACTTCAAGTATAATAATATAAGGAATTGATTTCTTATCCTGAAAATCGAAATGAGGCTATATAGGGTACAATATGCATTTGGTATAGATATTTTGAACTTGGGAAATGAAATAAAAACATGTTAAAGTGTAAGACCTTGTAAGTGTCAACTCAACCCTATGTATAATATATCATCAATGATATGAGGTTTAATTAGAAAACGGTTAAGCATTGATATCCGAAGAATATATAAATGATTGAAAAATTAAATCCATAATAGCTTCAATTAAAGTTTTAAAGTGAGGTTGTTAGACTTCTATTTAACGTATGCTTGGTGTTATCTACTGAAAAGAATATGCATTTAGTCCATGTAAGAATGTTACGTTATTTGCCATAAATGTAGCAAAATGTAAGCAAAGACGTATTTTACCTCCCATACAAAATTATAAATCTACACTGTACTTATTGCCACAAAATTAACAGAAGATATAGATGGTTTAGGTACTTAACCAATGTGTACTAGTAACTATTGTGAAACTTTTGAGGTACATTAAAATAACAAAAATTTTATGTAGCAAAATTAAAACCCTTTAACGGACATTTAAATAACATAATAGCAATCCAAGTGTTGCTATATCTCCTTCAATACTTTTAAAATAGCAATTTGAAAGTTACATGATATTAATTAAACGTATGTTTTAGTTTCGTTTATATATATAATGTATGCTTGTTTTGTTTAATTTTGTCACATGTGTTTATAGAGATTGACAAATGCAGAAGTAATCCATGTAAGAACAATGGAACTTGTAACAATTATGTCACCTCCTATAACTGTTCATGCCTGCCTGGTTATGAAGGACTCAATTGTGAAAAAGGTAAGATCTATTAAAGTTTGAATATATTTTTTACTTGTGACAAAACAAAATTGTCCACCACTTACCAGTTGTGTCCAAAGTGACCCACTTTTGTATAAGAAACTTACCACTGCTGAATAAATATGACTGTAAAATATTGACGTACTAAAGTACTTCTCACTTTTCTTTTAATTTTAAACTGCGGAATGTAATTTTATTGCAAATATTCATTTAACACATAGGTTGTTGACGTGATATACTGGAAAATATAGCAAGAATAAGATCTTCAGACATAAGCCAATAGATTTTTCTATTTCAGTAGACTATACATGTGTATACTGTTTATGAATTCATTTTATCATATACCCGTGCCGCTCCGTAAAAATGGTATTGCAGAGTCCTTTCACTTGACGTCATTTTTGCTTTGCTTTGCAAACATTGCGTTAAGACGAACGTTACACTGTAGACGCTTCAATGAAAAGGGACTCTTGTTTACACTTTAAACAGGCTTTATTGTTGCTTTGAATAAAGGGTAGATAATATTATATTCGTGTAGATTCATTAATGAGTTAATTGAGCTCGTTGGATGAAATATTTTAATCTCGCCAGAAGCTCGCAGTATAAATTTTATTCAACTTGTTAAAAAAAATCAGTATTGAACCTACACTCATTCAACTTCCTCTATATTGAATGTATGATATTGCAAATTATATCATTTTATAGATTAAGAATTTAATAATGAGTAAATGTTACCTTTTTATGCCAAAATGGTGGCCCGTTGATTGATTGATTGATGTGCACAATTTTCACAATGAGTAAACGGATCAATTGGTGTTTATTTGTACGCAATTTGTGTCAAATTGCGTCATCAGTATGAATCGTCACAGAAATTTTGAAAGTGTCTTTTTAATTTGAAAATAACCAAGAGCTTTTTCAAGAAACGTGATGTTTTGAATAGCTTGTTAAGTTTCAGTAAATAATCAATATTTTATGTGATATTAATGATCATTCAAAGTAAATATTTCTCATGAATAGAAATCGATGGTTGCTTCCATTTTACTGTTAAGCAAACATACTTCCCATCTTACTACGAAGCTCCGACGTAAAACATAACTCTACGACAATTTATAAAAAAAAATATTAAAACAAATCAAACATTGCACTTTCGGGGAAACTATTTATCATAAAGGGAATACAAAGTAAATGACATTTCCTGAAAGAATCCTGTTTAAATTGAATTAAAATAAACGCATTCTTGGCTTGCTGTTGTTTTGTTTTCAGCCGTCTATGGTGCAAAGTGTAGAAACGCCCAGATGTGTCTAACAAAGGGTGCTAAGTGCATCAACAACATATGCATTTGTGCAACAAATCATTATGACGCAGAGCTAGATTTATGCGATACATGTAAGTCTTCTTTTCTTGATTTCTTATGGATAGAATAATTTTTCATTTGAAATTTTTAAAATTAAAGTTTCATTATAAACTTGAAAGCATGAGAGTAACCTTTTATGTTGAAATTGCACTTACAGTATGGATATAAAATTATGTTATTATCTGCCATTACTCTCTGAACTATTTGGCATATGCGTATTTAGCTAGTGTTTTTTCTCTTTTTTATGACAAAACATGATATTATTATTAAAGTTAAACTGAAATTAACAAATAACATTATTAAACGTATTTACTACCTATCATTGTAAAGTTTCCTTGTTTGATTGTATTCAATCTTCTTTTGAGCTTTTGAATGTTGTACGTATACACTTAATCTAATACAAAATATGTCAATTAATAAATCAATGTGCATTTTAATGTCTTATCCGTCCTTATGTCGGATAATAGCTTTGACGCTACATGTCCATATATGTTGATTTGACCTTTTACGCAAAACATTCATCACAAGATGAAACATTTACAAAATATAAATGAAAATATGTTTCTTACTCCGAGATTGCTAATAAATAAAATATTTGGCATAAATTGATGTTTGTGTGCAGGTTAGCATCATGAAGATTAAATTGTATTCTTTTTACAATTTAGATGATACATATATATGGTATGCATGTTTTTCCAGTGCCTTTATATCCATATGGCATGCATGTCGATGACAATTTAGTACCGATTGTAAAAGATTCTTGTAGTGATCCAGTGGTGTTTGATCAGGGCATACCAATATTTGATGAAATACACACAAAACTCTTTGTATGTACATTTTCTTCTTCTTCTTATTATTATTATTATCATTGTTGTTGTCGTTGTATTTATTATTATTTTTGATGTTTATTACTTTTTCAGTAGTATTAACTTAACCATTTTAAGTATATCATTATTATCGTCGTTGTTTTTGTTGTTATTATGATTCTTATCATTTTTGTTATTATTATTTTTATTATTAATAATGTAAATATCATCATCATCATCATCATCATCAATATTATTATTATTATTATTATTATTATTATTCGATAAAGTCAGTTAGTACACTAATATTATTTATGACCAGCAAAATCAACAAAATACAAAAACGTTTTACACTGATCATGGAAATAATGCTGTGAATGAAAAATAGAAAAAAAATGTAAAATTGTCATAGGTTAATTTGTTTGCAGGTCTGTTCAAATGGACACATTAGCTTTGATAAACCATTTATAAGCCCAGTTCCGCCAAAGAATGTGAAGAAGTTTTCAAACAAAACAATTGTGGCACCTTATTTCGCGGATACAGGTGCTGGAAATATGTCCTTTCGGCATTTCGACGTTTTAAACTCCCCGGAAGGGTTGGAACAAAATGACACTAAAGATGTTGAGTCAGTTGTACAAGACATAGAGGGCGTTAAAGAATTCGATGCCAAATTTATACTGTTTGCAACTTGGGAGAACGTCAGTCCATTCCAAAAGTCTTTAAACAATGTGACAGTAAGATATGTTTATGTATTATGTTCCAGTTTTGATAATTGTGTTTTTTTCTGTATCATAGTGTATAATAGTGATATCGAGGCAAATATAAATGACATAAAGCAGGATGCCTCCAGATTTAGCTTATTTTCATAAATATTTTGAAAATGTATTCAAAAGTAATCAAGAAGGTAATAAACACATTGAAAACAACACTTTCAGTCCAAGTAAATTAACCAAAAAAAGATCAAAATATGCAAAAAAAATATTACTGCATTAGTCACACAATTGAAGTATCGTGATAAATACTGTAAAATCAGTCATAAACCACGTAAACATGTAATTTATTACCTGAATCTTTAGATAATCTGTTTACTTAGTTGCTTATTTTTTGCAGCGTTCTACGGTAAGATTTTATTGTCTTCAAATAACAGCATATGCACATTAAGGACAAAACAATCAGTATGCATGCATCACTATATTAATTACATTCTACTTTTCTCAAGCAAACCTTGATAAGATACTATTGTTGACGTATCTGAATATTGAAAATTGTCAGTTTCTAAATTACATGTATTTTGTATTGTAGACTGCGACATTCCAGATTGTTATTGCAACAAATGGTATGGATACGTATGCATTATTTCTATACGGATACAACATGATGGGTTGGAAACTTGTTTCAGCCAAGAATGAGAAGCCTGATATATGGATCGGTTATACAGCTTCAGGGGTATATCATAGCACTGATATCAATTCATTCAAGAGATCTGCACTCGAGATAGATAAAAATGCAGTTACAAACGGTAACTATAAAAATATTGCATGTTACAGTTATGTAATAAAGATGTTGTTTCATACCGAACAATTCAGGGAAAGTACAAAGACTTTCCATGACTTCTTTCTAAATTTGCTTATAAAGGCACTCAGTAAGGACCAATAAATCACTTTTTAAATGCTTACCTTATTTTGACAAAGAATGCAAGGAGAAATCCTGACTGTATTTATGCTGACGGAAACAGATGTTACGCATGCACCCAGCATCTGTTCGCTATTCTCAGTACATAATTAGAATTTTACCTTAAAATGATAGATGGTTTGTCCAGGTTTAAAGATGGACATGTCCATTATAGATATTGAGCGTGGTTAAGGTTGAACTGTTTATGATTCATTGAGTCTTCGAATTTGTCGATGTAAACCAGGTGTGATAAATATACATATATAATTATGAGCGCAATAAAACACTACATAAGAATCTTATCTGTCAAAAATTCAATGTTGAAAAGAAATTTTATTTTCACATAATTATTTTCTGCCGAATACAAATATGGTTACCAAGTTATATTAATCATTTATTAAAATAAACAAATATATATCAGTTAGAATAGACATTTTGATTTACTAGTTAGACTACAGTGCACAATGTTGAATGCCAAGGTTTGTTTCATGTCTCTGTCTACAGACAAGACTTGTACTTTCTGACCTATTGGTATTTCTTTTTTATTTATTATTTAGGAATTTCTGGTCTGTTATTCGAAAGACTTACCAAAGTTGGAACAAAACAACCCAACTTTGCAATCAGTTGCATTGACTGGTACAACAAAAATAAGCATTTAGAAGCAGAGATCAGAGAAACATCAGATAAAATGCCAGAGTGTCCATGCAGTCTTGACAGTCTGGGTTTCGATCCATGGTTTTGGGGATCAAGTGACGATATGATAAATTCAACTGTTTACAGTGTGCAGATCCTGCCTTCCCAATTATTCAAGCCTTACGGAAAGGTACTCATTTGAAATTAAAAAGTTTGACATTTTTAGATGAATGTCAAGCCAGCTTTGAATATGCATGTTTGTAAGTTGTATGGGGTTTTCGTTTTTACGCCCGAATTGTTATATCAATTACCACATCCCCCTTCTCGCTCTTTGTCAGCCTGTGTGAACATTTTGGTGTCGGTACCATAGCTTTTAAACCTGTAAAAGACGTTCATGCTTTTATATCAAACGTGTAAAAAGTGTGATCCATCGGAAACATTAACTTACAGAAGAATTCTATGAATAAATTGCAGACCCAAGTTTGATTGAGTCTGTTTATGAAGGGTAAGAGAAAAGAGCAACATCCTTTACGCCCCCTAGCACCGACTTAAGTGGTATTCAATATTCATCACTGGAATCACAATGTGACATCATGCCTTATTCAATTTTCAAATGCTGGAATTTAAACCAAGTTGACGTTTCAAGGTTAAAGATTTGCACCGGCTCTTTTTCTTTTGGATAATGTCTTAGATGTTCATGATGTTTTTGTCAGATTTATATTTATAAAAATCATATCTTTACTGGGATGACGTTCAGAACCCCGTTATAGGGGCATTTGGTATACAGGATTACAAGCCCGAATGAAAATTCTTAATTTTGAATCATTTGAATTCTTCCAACTGTCCAGTTGTAAGATGCTTGTTTATGAGTTAAGGATATGAGAGGTTGGGGTTTGAAAACAAATGCGAGCAACTAAATATTTTTATTGTTCATTGTTTAGTGATATGAACATTTTTTCTCGAGAAGATAGCAAATATGTGCCAATAAAATTGAAGTTTTTTCTAAAAAGTAGTAAACAAATGTATACCTAGGATGTTTTACTTAAAGGGACATAATGCCTCAGAAACGATATTTCTTCTTTTTCTTCTAAAAGCACATGTTTTATAGTGTTTTAACAATGGTTTTAAGGCACGTGAGATACTTACCACGCTGAATGATAGATAATTTGTCATAAAAGTAGCAAAATATTAAGAAAATAGTATATTTACTTAAAAAAAGATTACTAAATCAATGTAACTTTACTAATTGTCAAAAAGCATTTAACGCAAAGAATGGTTTCATTATGTTTATGGTCATGGTTACGTTTATGATGTGTTTTTTTTGTTTTCTCCGTATTGATTTGAAAGGCGGGAACACAACATTGAAGGGAATTAGCAGGTCAATATGCTGTTGAATAGACGGTCAATTTACATCTCTACGTTACTTTAATCTGATATGTTTTTTTTTACCAAAAATGAATCAGGACATATGAAATTTAACTAAACATTATGCAAACTATTCATATGTTCTCTTATAGACCTGTTTGTATAACATGACAACTGGGCTGTGGATGAATGAGATACCAGAAGCTGGAGGTTTCAACATCCATCATCCAGACTTAAATGCCCGTGGACACACTGAGAATGATCTCAATGCTAAAATGTCATGCTGTGAGAAATCAAAATTGTGTAATTTATATTATAAATTACATCCTGTCGGATCATGTTACAATGAGACATGGTTTGAGTTAGGTAAGTTCTTTATGATGAACCTCAGCAATAGACAATAATCTTAAAGAGAATAAAGCTATGTATTTGTTGTCTTGTCTCTGAATTGTGAATTGTTTATAATTGATTTGATTAAATTTATTACAGAATAGAATACCTAGAATCATGTTATTGCATATTAAAAACAACAGGTGTCATGCGAGAAATAATCACCAACCCTCCTTAAATAGCAGAAGAATATTTTGTTCCGAAGCATTTCATTCTATTTACGTAGAATACTCATTCACATTAAATATCATAAACAATATAGGTTATAAATCTTGCAAAAGTAATAATTTTACTGTGTTTACAGCGTTTAAATATTTAATGAGATATTGCTGTATACACTTTAATTAAATTTGAAAAACAATTGAAGACGAATTTCGAACATGATATTTATTTTCATTTAGGTTTAGAGAAACAATGACATTTGTTGAATAACCAATGTATATACGTTTTATAAAGGTGAATTAAAGGTTGATTTGGGCCATTATCTATCATTACTATTTGTAAATTGTTACACACATGTAACTATGATAAATACCTACCTACCTTCCGTCATACCTACCAACCTACCTTTTTTACTTTACACCGAATTTTACTTGACTTCACATGAATATTTATAAATGATAGTTTTATAACTACGAGCATTTCATCATTTAAGGCACTACTTGGGGTGATCCACATTTCAAAACGCTTGATGGAAATAACTACACTTTCAATGGTCTTGGTGAATTCACTTTACTACAAATGGATAATGGATTTCGGTTACAAGCACGTACTGGACGGGCGGTTAAAGAGGATGGCAACTTCTCTGATGCCACTATATTTACTGCCTTTGCCGCCTCCGATAGTTCCGGGGCAAAATTCCACGTTGAACTAAACGACGCTGAAAACGGTAAAATTTGTATCGAAACATCTTTAATCATTTATTCATTTAAGAATATAGTTTACACCCTTAGACATTATACATTTAACAAAGATACAAAACGATAATTTGTTGAAGTGCATTTATTTATTTATTTCTGTTTTCTAGCTATTGTCACTTGTTACTGATTTATAATTTCACGATAGTGATTAAATGTTTAAAAAACACATTGAAATATTGTGACCTTATAATTTGATAAGACAGTACAAAACCTTCTTTTCTTAAAAAAGGAACAAAAGACATTGAAACAAAAATTAATCTGCTTGTTTTCTATTTGCTACTGACCCTTACACTACTGGCAATGAAAAGTTAAAATATTAAGATAACATTTAAACTCATACTTTTAAGGTCTTACGCTCTACGCCAATGACGTGGATCTTTCTCTGCTATTTAAGAAACTAGGCGTGGCATCATTTGGATATAGAACAAATGAAAGCAACTTAGCCCTCCTTCGGAAAGAGGATACCTTAGTTGTATTTTTTCCGTCCGTCGGTAAGAGCATTTTAATCTTTTTAACAATGTTTTATGAATAGAATTAATTATTTGCCTTCTTGTTATTATGTCTCTTAGTGTAAAATAAACATATTTTTCACATATTTCTATAGACATCATGTTCATAAATTGTTTCCTTGTTTACAATCTTAAACGGTATAAAGAAAAAAGTCCTTTATTTTGTTCATATACGTGCTAAGCATTCTGAACTTAAAATGACATTATGCTCATTTTTTCCGTTGTCAGATGAGCTTAATTAGAGAAATATTTCTAAAGATTGACTGTAATGGTGATTAAACACTAAGTGATAATGAAAAATGTCTAGGATAAAATGTAATATAAAAAGATCTCGAAAATAAATATAAAAGCATATGATTTTTGTCCCTCTTTTCACATTGTTTCGATGATGGATTTAAAACATGCAAATCACTTTTATAAAAGAATGCAGCTTTGATTGTGAATCAATACTTTTTGCCATGCAAATAAAGTGGTATTTTGCCTTTTATAAAATACTAAATCACAATTATTTAGTTGTTCCGTCAAAAGTCTGTGTTACGAGCCAGGCGTAACGAGAAAGAAAAGCCAGCAACAAACTTGTAACAATAACAAATTTATTACAGAAAAATTATTAAAGTAAAAATAAAATAACAAATTATCTTTACAAATACCTGAAGTCCAAATAAAAATTACAAATGTCTAGTCTGATCCTGGAATGATCCTTTTTTAATAGCACAGTTAAATCCAAGTTAAATCCAAGAACACTTTAGAAAAAATTCCCACAATAAAATCCACAAGAATAATTAATAATCCAAGCTCCAATAAATCACTTAATTTCCAAGTTGAATAATACTCCAAATATATTGATGACTTAAAAGATCACTGATGACTAAAAAGGTAACTGATGACTTAAAGATAAAAGTAATGAAAAATGTCTCCTTATAAATATTAACTAAGAAGTTTCTAGAATAGTCTTCCATTTACTACAGTAATCATAATCTAGCAACTTCACCAATAAAGATCATTCCAGAAATTTCTATCTAAATATAATGCATGAGTTTTCTATAACAGTTAAGAACGTTCTAGTACATACATGTAGTTTATGTTCTAAAAATAGAACAATGATAATATTGGAAATACCAACTGGTCAGATACAAACTATATACATGTAATATGTTGCATACATAACATCTGGTTCAGTTATATTGGCAATGACCAGGAAAAAAAGAAATAAGAAATGAAGATTTTGGTAAATAAAAATAAAAGTGTTTTAAGTAAAATTTTATTGGCAAAAAACAAACGCATGTCCACCGCCATGTAATCCTTGTGGATATAACATGTTTATAAGTATACATAATAAGTAGTGTAATAAACTATGCAGTTTACGAAGCTACATCAATAATATCAAAATGCCAATATAAGTCATAGAAGTATAAACATGTAATAATAATAATAATAATGATGATGATGATCATCATCATAATAATGATAAAAAATAGAATTAGAAAGTTAACGTATACTTATATACATATACTAAACTATTTGAGCTTCTCTTATACATAGCACAATAATAAAGCAATTGTTTTACACGGTTACTTTTAACCATCTTATAATAATCTTTTTCTGAATATTTCCAGCAATAGCATTAAATATAACAGTTGGAGTAAAGATGCTTTCAATGAATGCAATCGTTCCAAAAGTCTACAGAAATATGACAGAAGGACTCTTGGGGAATTTCGATGGCTTGGCTGACAATGATTTTATCGCTCCAAATGGAACTAATCTCGGTTCAAATTTGAACGACAGTGAAATTCATCAATTTGGACTGCTGTGTAAGTTTAACATTATTTTTGATTTGCAATTGTTTTAATTGTGATAATAAACTAAGAAATTAAAATAGATATAGCTTAGTAATGAATGCATATTTTTTACTATTTTGATATATTTTCTACTATTTTGTTGTTTGTATATATTGTTTTGTTTTCTTTTTTATGTTTTACTTTTATAGGGTTAGTAAGTGGCAATAATACAAGTGTTTTTAAATACTTTGACAACAATACCTCATCTGACTATAGTAATAAAAGTTACATACCAAGATTTCTTGATACTGTGGAACCGGCTAAAATAAAAGAAGCTGTGAAATTATGCGACGGATTACAAAATATTCAGTGTGTTTTTGACTTTGCATTTACTGACAATGAAAATGTTGCAAACGACACAAAGAAAAGGAAGAATAAAGCGGATGAAACAGACATGGAAATAAGTAATGAACTTTGACAACTATTTCAAGAAATTGATATTATTGTAAAATGATATCAGTTTCATAGGAACTTACTTAGAATCCGTTTTATTGCAAAATACTGTAAAATGGTATGTAAAAATTACATGGATTAAGAATCTACCGTATTTGAAAACTTGTAAGACGACATCAGTAAAATAGGAAATGATTTAGAATTCATCGTATTGAAAATTTTGTTAAATTATATCAGTAACCTAGAGAATGATTTATAATTCTGTGTATTGATAATATTGTAAAATGATATAAGTTACATAAGAAATAATATCGAATCTACCGTTTAGAAAATATTGTTAACTGGTATCATTTAATAAGGAAATGATGTCTAAGAATTCAACTAATTGAAAATACTGTAAAAATATATTAGTTACCTTTGAAATGATCATCTACAATTTACTTTATTGAAAATATAAATATTGTAAAATGGTATTAATTATCTGGGAAAAAATCAGTTTTGCATCTATTGATTTCATTAAAAAGAAAATGTTTACATGATTTTACCCCTTTGGTTGAGTTTGAATAATATTGATACCTTGCATCAATTTTTAAGGTCGATATGACACACTGATATTATTTCATCCTTAAAACAAAATGCTTTTGTTTCTTTGTCAATTAACGTGTTGTTTAAGATCTATCATTATTATTAGAAACGTTAGATATGAGTACATGTATTTATGTAAGAAAATTCTGTTTATGAATACAAAAACAAGGTTGCAGTGAAGTTTCCATTTCATGCTTGGTTGCTTTTAACTGGCAGACAAAAGAAAATAAATAGTTCGTTGTAATATCATGTACAGTAATATTTGTATTATCTTAATAGCCTGATTTTATTTAACTTGATAAAATCTCAGTATATATCACTGTATAAAACTTTTATTTTTCAGGAAAGGTTACACCTTCACTTAAAGGTTGTGATGTTCTATATATTTTGGATCGCTCGAAACAAATCAGCTGTAGTATTGAGGTGCTAGGTGACACCGACAATGATCTCATATTCAACTTTACAGACAACACTGCAAATGCTATATTTAACCAAACATCAAGAAATCTTATGTTCATGCAGACGTCTTTTGAACCCGTAAAAATTAGGTTAATATTTTATACTTAGAAGACCATTATAATTTTATATTGATAAATTGTCAACACAAGTTATATAAATTGCGTTGGACCCCAAAGTGCGGTGTTACAGTGCAGCAGCATTAATTAATTGTTTGATCCTTGATATCAATTTAATATGCGTTGAATGTAAAACTTTTATTGCACTATCTTCTTCATCCTTTAAATTATTTGGCCGTGTTAGATATAGTCAGGTCAGTAGTACGAAAGCAATACATTATTTTCCGTATAAAATAACTATGATATTTATTATAGTATCACCGTTATAAAAGATGGAAGAAAAGCTATCCCCTTCACAGTTAATGTCAGGTTCTGCTCGGGTTGTAATGAACATGGCAATTGCACAAATAAGACAAGATCTGATCAACGAGAGGCCGAGTATTTCAAATATTTAGAATGTGTCTGTGAACCACAATATGAAGGTACACATTTCTTTTATATGTTAGATGTATGTTGAAAATTTAGTTTCCTGTGTATGCATAATTCTGGAAAAGGGGTGATCTCACGTAAACATTGAAAAATAATAAACAATAATATATGAAAATTGCAGACTCGGTTTGATCGAGTCTGTTCATGAGTGATAATGTAACTGTGACCCCTAGTAAGCACCGGCTTAAATAGTATACAATTTTCAACACTAACGTGCAGGAATCAATGATCCCGAAAGACCAACTAAACAAATTAATGAATGAAATTAATGTAAATAAGGGAGATTATCACATTATTAAACTATGGGTCTCTTTATTCAAGGATAGTTGACATGATTTTTATGAACCAGTGATCACTAGCTTTTAATCTTTGTACTCGTATATCACTTACACTAATCAAATTAAATATGTGACGATCAAGTCTAAAGTTTTGCAAAAATATGTATAGTTCAGGAACATTTACTTAATCCGAATTTTTCGAATCTAGTAACAACTATTTTAATTTAATCTAATTGTAGTTACTTTACAATCTTCAGAATGCAGCATTGTTCCATGTCATTAACATATAATAACAACAAATAACCAGTGAATATATTAGTATTTATTTAATAACGACACGGTGAATAAATCGTCTACATTGTATCTAGATTTTTTCGGGATAATCTATTATTCAAGGTGATGATTGCGAGCAAGAATTTGATGGTTGTGCTTCAAATCCATGCTCCGTTGATAGAAACTGTACAAAGTTGACGGCATTAGAACAGAAGAAACTTGGTAAAAGTTACAACTGTAGTGCCTGTCCTGACGGATTCATAGAGGATGGCGATAAATGCCTTGGTTAGGAAATTAACTCTGCTTGAAAATACCTATTTTTATGTCGTTTATTCAGCAATACTAAAGACAAAGTTATTACGCTATTACGAAAGTTAAAGTTAAATTAATGCAATTACTATTTCCAAATGAAGACCATCCATAGTAAACAAAATACTCGTGTACTATTTTCTTTTTCTCAAATTGCAGTGAGTCAATAAAAAATAAATAGTATAAATGAAATAAGAAACAATCTGCTATTTTTCTATTGTTATCTGTTTGTAGATATCGATGAATGTGCTGCCAAGTCCAATCTTTGTGAACACACGTGTTTGAATGTGGACGGATCATATGAATGTCTGTGTAACATTGGATATAGAACAAGTTCAACAAATAATAGTCTTTGCAATGGTAGTAATTTTATAAATAGAAAGCTTGAAAAAATTATTCGAAACATATGTTGTTTTCATATGTATTTTATTGAGACTTAAATGCGACATTAAGAATGAACTTTGTTTTAAGCAGTATAAAATAATACGGTTGGGAGCTATGTTTAGAAGGATGTCATAGAATTTACCTATTATACTATAGTTAATACATATGCATGATCAATTCCTTGTTATGAACACATAAAAAATGGACGGGCGTAACACTTCAATGTACACTTATTAGTTATCCCTTTAATTTTAGATATCAACGAATGCGACGAATCGATTAATAACTGTAGTCAGCTTTGTGAAAATGTGAACGGTGGTTTCAAATGCAGCTGTTTTACAGGTTTTATCTTTAACAATGTCACATGGAACTGTGATAAAGGTGTGTTTCTTTGCCATTCATTGCTTTAAGAGTATATTTTCTCAAAATCAAAATGATATCTTAAACTTCAATACCAATTTAATAAAGTATTTTTTCTTGAAATATTGCATCATTTATTTTGTTGCTCTACCAAATTATTTTGTTAAATAAAGTCAAAAGAACGTAAAGATAATTCAACAATATTAGCTCAATCTAATGTACATTTTGCTATCAAAATAGATGTCAAAGCGACAACATGTACAGAAACAAAAATCATCGACTGTAGTCACACCGCTGGTTGTACTGTAGATGAAATCTCTTTAAATGAGACATGTTTTTGCGAAAATGGGTTTGAACTTTCTACTAATGGCACTGCATGTATAGGTAAACATTTTAATATGTTGAAATAAGTATGTTGTATTATAACGTATTTTTTATTTTATAACACAAATATATACAAAGAAGTCGAAAAACTCATTCTATAATTGAACCGTTGCCCTAGTTTTGGGCACGGTAGCTTTACAATTTAGCAAAGAGTTAAAAGAGGCAAAAATAAATATTTAAGATACACTCAGTCAGTATTTATTGAAAATGTGATGAATGTATAATGTTTGTTTTCACTTAGATATTGATGAATGTGAACGTAATATATGTCCTCAAAGATGCAACAATACTTTTGGAGAATTTCAATGTTTGTGCTATTCCGGTTTTAAACGTCAAGAAGATTTGAGTTGTAAAGGTTAATATTACTTTTACTGTTTGACATGATTAAAAAGGTATTCATCTATCATTTAATGCCTTTCCTTGTTGATCTTGTTTGTCATATCTTATCACTTTTATGTTAACAGAAAAGTAAACTTTATTCATTTGACAGTACAGTCCATAAATAGGCTCAATCAAACCGAACCTGCAACATTTTAAATTTTGTCGTTTTGGACTTTCTTTAGGGATTTGTATATACTCTTATTATATTTTGCCATGTTTAAATATTTAAGATATTAATAGAATGATTGAGAGAGAGAGAGAGAATAACTTACTTCTGGAAATTAATATTTGCTATCAAAATCAATATAGGTGTTTTATATCTATTCCTTCTGTTAGAAATGTATTAATTAGGATTTAATGAATTTATTTTATCGATATATTTGTATTTTAACAGAGTGTGAATTTCCCTATTGGGGCGATGGCTGTTTAAATGAATGTAAATGTTCAGGAAGAGGAGCTACAGACTGTAACCCTGTGCGTGGGTGCATATGTAAAGATGGTTGGCATGGCGACAAGTGCGATGCCGATATAAATGAATGTGATATACTTGTTGACCCTTGTCAAGACGTTAAAAAAGAATGTATAAATGAACCTGGGTCTTACAGCTGCAGATGTAAAGACGGATATTCAGAAAATGACGGCCAATGTCAAGGTAAACTGATTTTGTTATCGTATGACCATTTAACGACTGGACTATCCTTCGAAAAGGGTAGTTGTTTTTCTTCATTAAAATCATATTACAGTACCATTTTTTTTTGCTGGTAATGCATGTCAGAAATCATTGTTAAACTACTAAATCCGCGGTTGTTTGGTATGGAAGCATTTATTCTGTCTGCTTTTGGTGAAAGGAGGGGTGTCAGATCATATAAAATTTTAAACAGAACCGAATTAATGTGAACAGATAGGCATTTTGTAATTTTGTACTACAACAATCATTATAAGTATATAAATAATGTATTGTTTACTTTTATGTTTGTAATTTTACTAAATTTAGGAAGGCTTTTACTCAATATATATGAATAAACACAGTCAACAACTCCCAGTTTTAAATTACTATTTGTTTACATGTTTAGTTTCTTAGTGTGGGTTAGACCGAGATACTACATGTATATATTCTTGCTATTGTGCTCGAGGTCCTTATCCGAAGTTTGACGGAACGTGCCAAGAAGATGCGACTGCATGCATTTGTCTGCATTCATAACCATCGATATCTTCTCGTATTTATATTTTATTCATTTATGTGTTTTGAATTTCCGTTTGATGCCAGAGAACTTATCCAAATTTTTATGGCATTGCACCAAAATAACGCATCGGAAAATTCAAAACTATTAACTACTATTAAGGCATTGAACACATAAAAATCATGATGCAAAAGCTGTGTAATTTTACTTTAAGAAATTGTTTTAAATGTAAATATAAACTTGCTATATTATATTGATTTGTAGATATTGATGAATGTTCGAGTCCGATTTTAAATGATTGTGAAGGTTTTTGTATCAACACAATTGGAGGATATTCATGTGGTTGTTCCGAGGGATTGACAATTTACGAAAACACACGCTGTAAAGGCAAGTGTAAACTATATGTATATATTTTTTTAGATCGGTGAAATAAAGAAAAAAAATATGATAGCCTCGATCGGTAAAAGAAAATGTATGATTTAAGCATGAGAAACAAAACTAATAAACTTATATGTGAATCAAATATTTTTGAAGATATGTATCTGAGCAAAACTATTCAACAACTAAACGAATTCGAAAATCACTACATTATAATAAAGCCATCAAATTATCAAATTCACCAAAGTATTAAAGTATTAGTATATCAATTTCCGTTATGTTTAAGTTTAAATTCTAGTCTCATATTTCAAATTTTGAAATAATAGAATAAGAGTTTTACCTTAATTTTCTTAAACTCTTATTTAAAGTTTGTAGATTATTGCGCGTAATTTAGATATGTGGAAGCATTCTTTAACAGTGTACATGATATAAAATATGTTTTAGATATAGATGAGTGCGCACTCGACCTTGACGACTGTGAGCAAAGATGCCTCAACTTTAAGGGCCTTTATAATTGTTTTTGTCATTTTGGTTATCACCTCAACGATGACAGAAAGACGTGCAAAGAAGGTCAGACCTCTATTATTTCTTTTGTGCGTTGGTTCTTTAAATTGAACTTAAACAATTCAAGGACAATGAACACTATAATACATGTATATCTTTAGCCTTGATAAAAAGCAAAATCAACTGTCAAAACGACATTTGAAAATGAAAGGTAATATCAAAATCCAAGTCTGATGAGTTGAACATTAATTTTATTTTTTTTATAGTCATGTTGTTTAAGGCTTTTTTAGTCAGTGATGTTTATATCATATAACATCATTGTCAAGTACGTCACCGAATTTTTTAACAGTATTTTAGTCAATACTTTAGAGGAATATCTGATATTAAGCGTGCTATAATCTGTAAAAGGCTCATTTTCTAAAATGATATATATATTGTAGTTGACAACCCATGCAAAGAAGAGCTTAACCTGAATTGCTCGCACTTCTGTGTTAAAACCGAAATATCCGCCAAATGCGAGTGCAGAAACGGATTCGAAATTGGAGCCGATCATCAAACATGTCTAGGTTTACAATTTCACATTTTTTACAATTAAGATAATTAATTTGAAGGATATATACTTTTAAATTCTTTGTTAACTTTTTTTTTAGTAATGTGGTTTTTTATAACGTATAACTCCATAATGAGATACATTGAATGTTCACCATTAACACGTTATAGAATCAGTGTTATGTGATATAGCATGACATGAAAATTGGACACTTGATTCTACGATGAAATTTGACCTAAATAATTTGGCTCTAAAGCACCCCTCCTCCCCAACAAAATATGATAAACAAGATCAACAAGGAAAGGCGGCATACACACATTCATTCTGATGACAAAACCTCTTTTACTTTGCTGCTAAAAGTCATTTGCAAAATTTAATGACGTAAGCATTAGACAAAAACAACGTTCTGTACTTCTTTGAATATGTTGAACGTCGGTGATATTTTATGCCTCCGTGCAGATATTGATGAATGTTCCTCAGCAGACACAAATGACTGTACTGACGGTGCCGAATGTATAAATACCGATGGCTCTTACGAGTGTAAATGTCCAATAGGCTCAAAGCTAGAAAATGACGGCAGAACATGCTCAGGTTAGAAGATGAGGTTTATACTTTATTTTATAGCTTTAACTTAAGCCAAAGTTTCTTATTAAATAAAAAGTAATTATCACAAAATAAGTGAATAAAAGTTATTGTCTTGATATGTTTTGAGAAATCACACCCTTTCTATATTTTTGAAATAATAACTTCTAAACAATGTTCACCTATAACAAGCAAATCGCAAAATTGCATAAAATCTATTTAAGATATTTTAATGTTAAAATTACATTTATAAATATAAATAATATTATATATCATATAAAAGTTTTTTAAACTTTTATTATAGAATGTGACGAATATCACTATGGGAATGATTGTTCGGAAAGCTGTAACTGTATCAATGGAGATTGTGATCGAAAAACAGGTAAATAGCTTACCAATCTTCTACAAGGAGCAAAACAATCAACGCTATATATAAGTAAAATATATTTGCCAACTCGTTCACTTATTTTGTTTAAGATGAACTTACCTTCCAACTGATATCCCCATACACCAGGAATGGAATAAAATTTTATGTTTTGACTTCAATGACAGGGGGATAAGGCACGAAGACACGAGCTGGATATATGTTTTTGTCCGTTTCGTATTATATTAACTTCGGTCTTACAGTCAATCTATTTGAAATTGCTTTTTAATCTTAAGATTATGTGCCATACACTTTCATTTTATATCTCTTCTACCTTTAAGGTTGTATTTGTGAGAGCGGATGGTTTGGAAAGGATTGTGATAGAGACATAAATGAATGTTCGAGCACATTATGCAGCGGTGACAACAAACAATGTATAAACACCCCTGGTAGTTATAAATGTATATGTAAATTAGGATATACAAATGAAAGTGGTGAATGCAAAGGTTTGTTATATTCCATGTATAAAAGTAAACTAATTTTACACGAGTATAGACTGATACAAAAATGAATAAACAATTATATAAAGTTCAGATCAAACAGAATTTATGTAAATTAGTGGTAAATGATATAATAAAATCAAATACGACTTGTAACTACGAGATTCTATATCTAATAGGTGTACACATAAAATGGTGATGATGCTTTGGGGAATGGGGAGGAACGTGTTCTTATTAATTTTTATGTTATAAGTCTGAATAGAAATTGTTAGTTACATACTTTTTATATCGTCTATAATAAATTTAATTAAACAATGCCAGTATTTTACAAAACTTGCTATCTTTAATTTCTACTGTGATGTTTTAAATGACAGATATCGACGAATGTTCCGACGTAAGGCTCAATACATGTGACCAAACCTGCATTAATAATGTCGGATCTTATGCGTGTAGCTGTCAGCAAGGATTTGCATTCATTAACGGTCAATGTTCCGGTAAGATTAAGAGTGTTTCACATAATGATAATCCTAACATCATGTTAAAATGTTTAATGATATAAGCCTTTGATTGATGATATGTCAGAAAGATAGTCGAGGCATACTTGAATTGTTTTATTTAGTTGTAACGTTTTGTATTTTAGCATGTGAATTTTGTTAACTACATATTTTTTATTTCATTGTCATGACTAATGAAATTTACAATGATGTAGATACATTGTAATATGTTTTAATCACACGTAAAGCGAAATAAGTACTAAGCCCGATGTTCCAACTCACAAGCAAAGAAGATCTTAATTTTATGATTTATGTTTTGAAATAAATTGGTACCTTTGAGGCATCACCTATCACCTAAGTTGAACAAACTTTTAGATCATTCTTTGGCATAAGATGCTCAACCCTCTTATATATGATTATGCTTTCAATAATTGAATATTAAATGTATATCTTGATTGATATAATGTTGTTACCGTTATTGCAAACAAATAAACTATTCCTTGTGTTTTTAGATATAGATGAATGCTTAGTAACAGCTAAATGTCACCAAATTTGCGAGAATACAGTGGGCAGTTATAGATGTTCGTGTGAAGAAGGATTTAAATTAGATCTAACTAACAGGCAATCTTGCACTCGTAAGTTTTAAAAAGATATCTAAGATTTAGTTTTCATTTTGAATATAAAGAAACACTTTCTAATTATCTAATTTAATTCAAAAGAAAAGTAGTATGTTGTAATAATATAGGTACATACAGGTTTCTTGTGATTGTGAGATCTTTTTAAAACAATATATTCATATCTAAATGATTTTGATATTGAATCTGCCTATTTATTTCAACAACAATTCAAAAAATTGAAAATATATTTATTATGTATTGGATCTTATTACAGCGAATAATCTATGCAATATGACTGAAGTTGAAAAATGCAGTGCAAGGAACGCCCAATGTAAAATAACTGATACAAATGCAGATTGCTATTGTTCTAAAGGCTTTGTGTTAAATGACGAAGGTGTTTGTGAAGGTAAACCTTATTATATATTAGCTATAACTTCAAATGTGTCTTCCAATAGTGTGAGATTTCTGAAAATGTGCCAATGTACTGAAACCTGCGGATTTCATATTTTATGGAATCAATGGCGTGTTTTCGCTCGTTGCAGAATCATCGATGCGGGCTTGTCTATTATTTTCTTGTACTGTATTGGTTTTTATGCTCCCGAAAAAATTCGGGGTGCTTATAGTCGCCGGTTTGTCTGTCCGTCCGTCAGTCGTTCTGACGTCCCGAATTCGTGTCCGGCCCATAACTTCGTTATTTGAAGTCGGATTTTACAACTATTTCACAGAAATGATCACCATATTGAGACGACGTGACGCGCGCAAGTCGGTCGGTAGATATCATTGAGTGGAAGTGCAGTGCAAAGAACAGTTAGTCTGCCTTGCCTAAGTTTGGAATTATCACACTTTGTTATTTCATTGTTACATGGGTCATTTATAACGCTCGATTTCCAAGCAAATTTGCCACGATGTAGGTTTATAAAACTCTAGAAAATGGTTAATGCCTTAGAAGCAATAAAAACAACAAAATTACGTGACAATTGCAGACGTACTTTTATTGAGTCTTTCAATGGGGTAACTGAAAATTGCATTATTCCTCAGGACCTTAGCACCGGCTCAAGTGGTTATCACTGTGCTTTAATCAATTATCATGAAGGATAGAAAAATACATAAGACTGAAGGACACAGAACTGGGCAACATTTTTCAGCTGCAAAACGGAATAGAAAAAAAGATTGGATACTTTATGAGAGAAAAAGCTCTCGTTATGTACAAGTTTATATAAAGATTATGTCACACATATTGTTTGATAATTAAGACCTGAGACATTTGAATATTCAGTGACCTTTTGTCGGTAATTGTCAATTCCGAAGCAAATCATGCGAATTTATATGTATTGTACAGCGGCATATGTATAAAGTAGAATTACCATCATATCACTTGACTTACAGTCAATGAACAGGCTTAATCCTGTAATATTTATAATTTTGTCGTTTTGGACTTTCTTTGGAGATTCTTTATTTCTCTTTATTTTACTAGTCGCAGTTACAATGTGTAAGGCTTTAATGAAATGAAAATATATGTATTTATAAAATCATGAAATCCAGAAAATACTAGATATGAAACCTACGATTTATCAACTCATGTTTCAAATAATTAAGCAAACAAAACTATGTAGTAATACAATTATTATTATTATCATTATTACCTTAATTAATCAACTATTATGTAATACAGATATTAAGGAGTGCTCTCGGAGTCTATCGCCGTGTTTTGATAAAGAATGCCAGGAAGAAGAAGGAGGATTTCGATGCATCTGTGAACCAGGATCATTCCTATTACAGGACGGAACTACGTGTCAAGGTAATCACCATTTTCATTATGACACTGTACTTTGTGACAAACTGGCTCAGTCAAATCTACCTTCTGCACTTTCGCTTTTCACTTTTTATGTTGTTTTTCAATGTTTTGGAGATGAGCTTAGCGATCTCCTCGTATGGTAATTTAATTTTAGCTATTTTATTCTCTTCTTTATTCTTTGTGCTATGCATAAGCCTTATAAGGTCTCTCTTTTTCACAATCCTCTCAGTAAACGCTGTTATAATTCCGAGTTTTAAAAGTTTGATAAAAGGAAAACATACGTGTATTTTGTTTGCATAATATCATCTTCTTTCCACATTTTTTGTAATTGGTCAACTTTTCCAGCTTTTTACCTAGTGTATTGATTGGTATTTTGACAGCTGTTTATAATGCATTAATTTCCTTTGCCTCTTACCCCTCCTAATGCGGTAAAATAATATTTATAATTTATTTGCTTTGAAGAAATATATAAGAACTAATTGTAGTTTTATTATTTTAAATATAATAGGGAATAATTATTCTGTTATAGTTTGTGAAAAGACAAAATTTGGACCAGAGTGTAACTCAACATGTAATTGCCTTTTTGAAAACACGAAATCATGTGACCCAGTAAATGGTGATTGTGATTGCCTCACGGGTTGGCAAGGTGATACGTGCTCAATTGATGTCAACGAATGCACTAATGAGACATTATTTGAATGTCCTGAAAAATCAAAATGCGTGAATACCAACGGATCGTACATTTGTGAATGTGATATAGGAAATATAATGACTGGCGATGAAAGATGTGAAGGTTTGTAATTATGATGTATTTGATAAGAATTATTTTTTATTTGCCTATAGAGTAGATGGAAAACAGATTCGTTTGTATATTTTGCAACATGTTAATATTTGCATACAATTTAAAATGTTATGAATCGGCTAGAGCGATATTTTCCTACACCCTTTCAAAAGCTTCACTACCTGTGCCAACAGGTAACAAAATACTATTTACTATAGAACTAGTGAAATGAGCAACACCTTAACCATGGTTCAAACAAATACGGAGAATGCTTAACACTTGAAACAAAACAAAAAGAACAATAATTGGCACTGCACCTGTCATGATACAAAACAAAAGGAGCAACACCTTTACATGACATTAGACAGGAATTCAACCACATTACCACATTTTTAACCATAACTTGTCAAAATGAAATGTCTTTAACGAACGTGAATTAAAACAACAAGAAAAAAGCTTAATAACAACACATAACAAAAACGGCAATGCTTTTATAATTACACAAAACCAAAAAGGCATTGCTATAACCATTATTCAGTGCCAAAAGAGCAACAGATAAGATATGTTTTATCATAACATAAAACAAACAGTGCAACGCCATTACTATAGTACAAAACAAAGAAAAAAAGCAATACATGTTTCTAAATTATTCGTACTTCTGCATATTTTTTCTGTTCCTACACATTATTTCCTTGCTTTATTGTACTGTATTGTAGTGTTGTCCCGATTGTCTCTGAAAATCGATAACTAATCGGACGACCCCAAAATCGGCAACAATCGATAGTCATTTTTAACAATCAATTATTTTAATGTTCTACATCGTCATGTACCACCACTGAATTGCCTAGGGCGTAACTTTTTTACACACGGTCAAATAGAAGTTTTCTGACAAAATCTCTTTAATTCCAGAGGATCCTTTAAGTCTTTTTTGTTTGCCTTATCAAAAAAGATATACAGAAAAAACATGGCTAGTGAATAAGTGGGCAATTTGAACGACTTTGTTTCGACTTTGTTTCCTGAACACCAAAACAAATTCATCTTTGCCTCTCACAAAGTAGTATTAGGTATTTGTGTTGTTTGTTTTGAATTCAAAGAGTAAATCTTACTTTAATCAAGGAGACAAGGGCTTATTTATTCTCAAAATATGGTCACTACTGTATAAAAAAATACATACAAGGATTGGTACCTTACAGGAAAAAGGGCCAAACAAACTCGATTATACTATCGGAAGACAATCGATTGTGGTGATCCCATTATCGATAGTGATTTTTGAGTCCGATACCCAACACTACTGTATTGTATTGTATTATTGTCCATTATAACAGGTTGTGACAGACAACATTTTGGACTAAACTGTGAGTCTGAATGTAAGTGTATAACTGATAACACCGACATTTGTAATAACACGGACGGAACATGTATGTGCAATAAGGTAAACATTTTGTTCAGGTTCCAATTTAAAAACAATGCGTAATAAAGTTTTATATTAAGAATAAGAAAGGCATGCACTGCTGTATGAACATTGGGCATTGGCCTCAGTTGCCATATCTGCCATTTGTTCTCTATCATTAATTTTGAACATAAACTATATTATTTCGTGCCCAATTGATGATAAACAAAACGAAAAGACTAAAATAACAATATAAAATGCATAAATCGGATACATAACGAGCATAATGTAGTGCCAACGAAATAGAAACAACACTTGCAAGTTGTGAAATGTGAAATTACTAAATCCATATTAATTTATTGTTACAATCAAACAGCGCCTGCAATATTTTCAATTTTACCGTTTTTGGTGCGTGCTTTAGGAATTCCGATATTGTCTGTTTTAAAAGCTATTTTAGCTATGTGATATAAAAATCATGTAGGTGCCTAAAAGAAAAAAATATAAAATCAATTGAAATTCTCAAAGCTTGATGAAAATGTTAAACTTTTCTTATTTGTAAAAGCTTACCAAATATACTGTTTAAGAAAAAACAATCAAACAACAATATTTAATACGATAAAACAGCTGTATTTTTATTATTGAAAACACAGCTTTTTTACTTCATATTTTATTTAACATAAACTCAAAATCCAAATTTATCTTTAACTTTTTAAGGTCATTCGTGTTGCAGAAGTTCTTTAAACTCCATTTGCAAAATTAAGAAACAACAATTTTAAGATGCAATATGAAAACGAAACAAAATGATAAACGAAGACTTCATGTCAAATTCAGAAGCTAAAATACACTTGTAAACATAATGATAACAGCCAGTCACGTGACATATGAAAAGGACACTGTTGAAAAATCAAATACCAATAACCTCTTACAACGCAAAGCTCTGTCGAGACGCTGTAGATTTATTCTGAAGGTGGGGGGGGAGTCAAGTTGCTATCAGAAAAAGAGAAGGTTTTTGTTTTATTTTAATAACAACATGAGATATTTATTATCCTAGGGCTGGACGGGTGAAACATGTGATCAAGATATCAATGAATGTTTGCAATCAGAGGATGTTTGTTCTGTAAAAGCCAACTCAGAATGTCGCAACACTAACGGATCATATAAATGTGAATGCAAAAGAGGATATTTTCCACAAAACAACAACTGTATTGGTAACAAAATACTTTATATTCCATCTTATAAGTACTTCTTGCTTATTGCAAAATTATACATGTTTACAAAGAGAAGGCTGAAAGGGTGCGCAAAATGTACAAATTCGTCCTTCTTTTCAGATCGTATAGCAAACAAAAAAAGTTTTACAGTACCTGTATTCTTACCCTTCTTAACCTAAGAATGTTAGAAACTGAAAAAAAAATGTGTGACTTCAGATGCCCGAGGCTTCTATCATTCGGTCTATTTACTGCCCATCTGATTTCAATACAGTGCAGCGTATTTCAGCATATCACTCTTAAATGACATCAATTTTCTAAAGTTTACTTCAAATATCGTGTAATGTAAAATGCTTACTTACTTTATCCGCACAATACGTTTACTTGTAATGTATACAATAAATGTTTAAGGCTATTAGGATAAACATGTATTAGTCCAATGTTTGATGTACAAGCATTGTTTACAGATAAAGATGAGTGTAACGATGGCACAGCAAATTGCAAGCAAGAATGTGTTAATAACGATGGTGATTATGTATGCAAATGTTTTGCTGGATATAGAGGTTCCTGGAATAATTGTACCGGTAATCCGTTTACTATATTCATTAAACTAAAGTAAATTTCCTCTCTAATTACTAAGTTTTGCGACATTTTATGAAGATGATTTGTTTTGAAATGAGAAAATTTAACAAATAATTAATTAAGTATTTATCGCCTGTATTCAATTGTTGCACTTAATAGTACTTCCGTATTCACAAGTGAGTTGACGTACAGATAAAAATTACAATATCTTCTTTTTTATGCAAATATGTGTTCAGATTTTTGACAAAAGTCCTGCCAAGACCTAAATATTGTCCATCTAAATAGACACTAATCTTAACATGGTACTCAACCAATGGCAAAAAATGTACGTGTAACTTTGCTACATGATATCAGGACGGATTCAGCAACGTTGCTACATGCTACCAGGCTGTGTTCACAAAGCAGACGGAATTTTACTCAGATCGTGTTTAAAAGATTGTTCAAAAACTGCACTCTCATTAGAAAAATGGAATAAGCAACCGTTATAATTATATAATTGTCAAAAACTGACTCTAATTCATATTAATATTATATTTATATTAATTATTAACACTAAGACATAAGATTTAATGATATTTACTATTATTCGTACAGAATGTTCGGATAATCAATATGGAATTAATTGTACCCATTCCTGTGAGTGTAACGCCACAAATGTAGTCGATGCAGAACAGTCATGTAATACTACAACAGGAAAATGCTTTTGTAAAAGTAGTTGGCAAGGTGATACCTGTAATGATGATGTTAATGAATGTGGAAACGTGACAAAGTGTAATGATGATGAAAACACTGGATGTAACAACTTGATAGGATCGTACGTGTGTGACTGTTTAAGGGGATTCTTACGCAACGGCGAAAAATGCGTAATAGGTTTGTTGAATAAATTAGATATTTTCTTGACAATTAAAGCTTTACTTCTTGTTACAATGTGTTTCAATGCACAAATTACCATATAACTTTTCATTTTCTTGACTTTATTCAACAGTTTATATTAAGTAAAAATTAATATTGGTAATATTTTAATATTCATTGACACAACACTACTTGATATTTATTCGTTTATGTTAGGTATGAACGCGAATGTCAAACTCATGAATCGAAATTATATTTCAAATCGTTATTTTCAGATGAACCAGCACCTCTAGATATTCCAGGTAAATCATTTAGAATTTTACGATAACGTATACCTTTTAGTAATTTTGTGGTATTGAAGCTGGAACTATATCAAAATGCCCTCCTTTTTGTTATAGATTTAGTCAGATGCAAATCATTGATTATGTCAATTTAGATTAAGAAACATTTAAAGCAACTATTAAAATGAATAAAAACGTTTACTTTGGTTTATCTGAGAGACAAAACGAAACAAAACTTGTTAAGCAAAACATAATTTACCAGGTAAGTCATATTTTATTTCGCTTTGTTATTACAGCTAACATTTGGTGGCTGATTTATGTTGTGTGGATATTTTGCAGACCTGGAGGCGAAAACACAAAATTACGACATAGTTATTACTTTGTCGTATTTTCGTGTTTATGTGATTTCGTCTGGCGCCTCGCGGAGCGAAAGGCGAAAGTACACATCTAGTGTCATCTAGTTTTAGGGAAACTGTTAACGGCGGTAACGAGGCTCCACTGAGTTACCCGATAGCTAGATACTCACTTCTGTTACGAAAGCCTGGTTCTGATTCTTTTTCTTGCATATAACAAATAAATCTTACACGGGAGTAGGGGCGTGTATGACGGGGTTTTCAAGCACCAATGTAAACCGTAGATAATCCTGTTTGATATGCAAGAATAAACTTCAAATGCATCAGAAATCTTACTGTTTATTTTGAACTTTCTTAACTATGTAGACTAGTTAAATACAAAATATATTTCCAATTATTATACTGATCTGATGGTGTCTAAATTAAGAAACTGTACTTCAAGTTCTTTTCATATAACTATAACGATAGATAAAACAAAGTATACAATTATGAATTACCTCCGTGGTCGAGGGGTTAGAGTCGATGACTTCTAATCCAGTAACCTCTCTGGCGTGGGTTCGATCCCAAGGAGATGTTTTGGTAGTTTAGCGCGGAGGAATGTAGTCTAGTACTGGTGTAACTCTCCAGGAACGATGGTTAGGAAACTACCCGCCTATTTGACTGAAATACTGTTGGAAAAAGGCGTAAAATGAAACAAACAAACAAAGTATACAATTATGAGGCATTTGTTTGTATTTTCAGAAAACTTTGGCGTTATAAATCTAGTGACCCGACTAGACGTTGATCTGTCAGAAGGCACTAATCTTAACACATCAACTACTTATGAAGCCTTGAAGATAAAAGTTACATATGCAGTTAGTAATACATTGTTTTATTAATAAAGGACAGGGAAAACATTAATAAGATATATAAAAGCTATTTGGTTATGTATTAGAAAAACAGAAAGAAACCTCGTATTATGCTACATGCTTTTCAATATATGTTGCTGGAATAGCGTTTGCTTTGAATGTAACAATGTGTGAACTAAATCGAACAAACCCATGTACTAGATAGAAAAGAAAAACGGTTTATGTAAGTAGGTAATTATTGCCGTTAGAACAAACTGATTTGCGATGTAAGTCATTTGTTCAAAAATTTGAATATTGCAATGGAAGGAACCTGAATAGCCAAGTAATTAAAGTCGCTGGCTTCGAACTACAAACCCTTCACCGCTGTGGTGTTGTATCCCGCAGGTCTCTTTTGATTCTTTTATGTGAAAAAGCTATCCAGCTATTTTACAGAAGGTGGTTCTATCCTGTTGCCCCTTTATGACTGAAATAATGTACAGAGGGGTACATGAGGTATTCCTCCACTTAGTTATGAAGTTGCCATAAGGCATTGGCAGTGCCGGTGTTACTTAAAACCAAAACAATTTAAACAATATTTATGTAAAATATTACGCACTGGTACTCTTGTGATAAAATCATAAGTTATAGAATGTGAAATGTAAGCTTTTTAGCATCCCAGGGTACTGAAGCGTTAAACAAGCATGCCTAAATTCTTGTCTTGTTTATTAATTAATTTTTTTTTTACTTAAAACATTTTAATTTTAATCTTTGTTCATTCGTGAGTTAAGGTCTGTGTGATTTACTTTTAAGTTCTTTGCTCTCAGTTCCCTGCTGCAATATACCGACGTCATAAATTATGCAAATGAATGTGTTTTTTTCCCACAGTTGCTGCCTTTTCACAGAAGATATGCGCCTGATGGAATTGAAATAGTGATATTAGACATAAGGTAAAAGTTCTTATATGTTATTGTTAAGTAATAAACATGTATCATAATTATTAAATTTTGAATTATTAACACTCTAAAACGTCATTATACTGTGTATATTTAAAAGTTGGATTGTTTTTATTCCCACGTTTTGCCAATACTTATGGTGCCGATTTTTGTCTCTGTAATTTAATTTTTAATTTAAACGTATCCCTCCAGTATTGACTTTCACTCTCAAAACTTGCATAATTATACATTATGTATTTAATTATACAGGTATTTATTATACATAAGCTAGAATATTTATTTGGTTTGAAATAAATACCATATTTTTTCTGGTAACTGATAATTAAGAAAATTATTTTATCAATTTCGTAATTAAATTTTGTACAGTCAGATAAAACTTCGAAGCACAACAAAATGTCGTAAGAAAATTTGAGGCATTGGTATTTTGAATATTTTTTTACTTTAACACCTATTTTAGTCCATTTATTGTTTGTTCTTACTTTTTACAACTATGACATTATTTGTAATACTATAGTCCAATCATCAACGTTATAAACATATATAACGTTATTCGTTTCATGTTGTTGTTTGCTTTTTAAGTACTGACTTGTACTTTGTATAACATCAAACTTTATTTTTTTAGACTAGGCAGCCTGATTGTTAATTACTCAATTATTTATGACACGATGGACCCTGAAATACGAAATAACCTAGTTCGTTCAGCAATTGATTTGGAAGCAGGGGCAACGCTTGAATTCGATGGGAACCCTGTGCAAGCCAGGGCAGGTAAAACTATTGTTTATTTATTTATTTATTTAATTTTGGTTTTATAGCCTTTCACTCATTATATACACTAATTAATTATAGCACTTGCAGGCTTTACTTAACGTGTATAATTCGATTTGATGTGTTTACTCTAGATTTTATGCAAGCTGGTGTTGATAAAAATATATACAGTAGACTGTTTATGTAAGCTTTTTAGCATTACGCTTTTTTATATATTTTTTTTAATTAATGTGAAATTGCAACGAATTGACACCCCTGAAAAAATGCAAAAACCTTTTTCCAGAAAAATCATGGTAATAATATAAAACAAGTTATATGCATGTAAATGTTTAAAGAATCACTCTAAAAAAGCAAAACCTCTAGCACCTCCAAATAACTATGGAACCTTAAACGACTATGAAAATACAAAATTGTTATTAACGTTTTCACAGAATCACCTGGGAATTTTACGGACCCTTGTGAAATGTATTTGAAATTGGTTGGACCTTGCTCTAAAGGCTTTGAATGCATCAAAGAAAACGAAAGACCAATGTGCAGGTAATTATGTTGAGTAATAGACACGGATTTGTTGGAATATACTTAAACAACACATTAGATATTGCACTTTACATCAGTGTTCATCTTCTATAATGGTGTATTTTTATAATAATATATTGCTATTGAATTAGGCAAAAGAACACATAAATGAATTAAAAGACACACTTGTATAAATTGTGTTTGATGTTTCTGCTGATTGCGTTTTTCATATCTTGTTGATGTTTAATCTACTTCCTTTAACTATTTCTGCCATTTCAGAGAAATACTGAAGCCAGGTAAGTGCTATTTCTATAATTGGAGTAAAACATTTAATGGAACACAAAATCATGCAATAGATATTGAAGCATATAGGTATCCAAAGAAGTTATTCCCATTACATGCTCAATATTTATTATTTATTCTGCATTACTGTCTTGTTTCACAAATCATCAGGACTAATATAATTCATTTTTATGCCACCGCAGCATCTGCGATGCGGTGGCATATAGCGATTCACCTGTGTGTATGTATGTGTGTGTGTGTGTGTGTGCGTGTGTGCGTGTGTGTGTGTGTGTGTGTGTGTGTGTGTTATATAGATTATATAGTGAACTTAAAAAATCTTCTTGTGAAAAACCGCTAGTCCAATTTCAACCAAACTTGGCAGGATTGTTCCTTGGGTGAAGGGCTTCCAAAGTTGTTCAAAGAATTTCATTCCATGCAGAAATCTGGTTGCCATGGCAACCAAAAGGAATTATAAGGATGAATTTAAAAAATCTTCCTGTAAAGACCCAAAAGGCCTAGAGCTTAGATATTTTGCATAAGGCATTGTCTGGTAGACCTCTAACAAGATTGTTCAAATTAAAGCCTTGGGGTCAAAATTGGCCCCGCCCCGGGGGTCATTGATTTTCACTATGTACATATAGTAAAAACTTAAAACACCTTCTTGTAAAGACCCAAAAGGCTTAGAGCTTAGATATTTTGCATAAGGCATTGTCTGGTAGACCTCTACCCAGATTGTTCAAATTATAGCCCTAGGGTCAAAATCGGCCCGCCCCAGGGGTCATTGGTTTTCCTTATATGTATATAGTAAAAACTTTTAAAAAATTCTTCTAGCAATTGACAAATGCGAAAGGTTAGATATTTTGCATGAAACTTTGTGTTGTAAAACTCTAGCAAGATTGTTCAAATTATAGCCCTGGGGTCAAAATTGTCCCCGCCCTGGGGTTCATTGATTTCAATATATACATATAAAGTAAAAAATATAAAAAATCTTATTGTCTGAAGGTACAAGGCTTAGAACTTTAATATTTGTTATATAATATCATCTAAAGGTACTCTACCAAAGTTGTTCAAATTTTCCTCTTGTGTCAAAATAAGCCCCGCCCCTGGGAGCCATAGGTTTATCCTATATGTATATAGTTAAAACTTAAAAAATCATCTTCTCTAAATTTACAAAGGATAAAGTTAAGATATTTTGCATGAAACATTGTGTAGTGAACCTCTAGCAAGATTGTTCAAATTATAGCCCTGGGGTTAAAATTGGTTCCGCCCCGGGGGTCATTGATTTTCATTATGTACATATAGTGAAAAAAGAAATTTTTTGTCTGAAGGTTCAAGGCATAGAGCTTTGATGTTTGATATATAATATCATCCATAGGTCCTCTACCAACGTTGTTCAAATGTCAAAAATTGGCCCTGCCTGGGGGCAGTGATTCTCATTATGTACACGTAGTAAAAACAGAAAATAAAACAAATGTTTTCTGAATGGGAGAAAGCTATAGCTTAGATATTTGACTTGAAATGTTGTTTGGTGGACCTGTATCAAGATTGTTATTAAACCCTTGGGTCAAAATTATGCCTTGCCCAAGGGGACAGTGACCTACTTTCTTGTCCTTTGATGTACAGCAATTACATTTTGACCATGTGCACAGTTTTAGTTGTAAAATTGAACTTTGACCTAGATTTTGATGATGTGGACTTTCTTTCTTGTCCTTTGGTGTACAGCTATGAAATTTGAACCATGCGGTGGCATAGCATTTTTCTCAAATGCAATCTTGTTCTTAAAGTGTGACATG